TAGCCTGAATTGGTCAGTAGTTGCATGATAAAAGTTTATTGAGAATGGAAAGATTTGCTTTTCAATGCAGGAATTATCACTCCTTTAAGATATTAATAGATAAGCGAGGAAGAAAAAAATGGTTTCATACTTTCAGAAGTTCATTCCTTCGACCGCGAATGTTCGTAACATATGTCAACTTTTTTCATAAATTGTTTAACAATTAATTGTCAATCACTTTTTATCCAATATTGTAATAGAAAACAAATTTTCGTTTATTTATTCGAACGAATTCATTATAATATAGCATCATAATACAATTCAAATGAAGGAGAAATCGTCTTCTGAAACAAAGACATTCTACTTGTGGCAATCATTAAAAAAGCTCCTATAGTATGAAAATAATTTTATACATACTTATTTAAAGAATGAAATACTCGGATAGCATAAGACCTTTTAATTGAAAAATCCAAACCCGAATGCATGACATTCCCCTATCTTCCAAATACCATAGGATATGATCCTGAAAATTTGACTACATGGCAATGAGTTGTTAGTGGTAACAGCTGTAAGTGACAACATTCCAATCAAAAGCGCGGTTAGTAATTATAATTTAATCAAATTGCTTGTAACTATGCAATCCTCTCCTTCCCCTTTCCTACATCGGCGATGACATAAAGTAGGCTACTGTTGAGAAGTTTTAAAAATTGGTTATTGTCTTCCCGTTTTCTTTTTGGAATCAAAGAATGGAAGAAATCGCTGAAATATGAGCAGGAAGACAGGAGAGAATTAAAGGAAAGAAAAAATGCAGCGGTAAGAAATGAAGACTATTTTATCGTTTTCTACATATCTTTATCTCAAAACATTCAGAAATTTTTCCATAAGTGAAGCTGAAATACAACAATACGAAAATAAGCAGTTTCACATGCAAAATGGATTTTTGTTCTCGACGAAAACAAATATATCAATTGAAATTTCCCTTGAGAAGATATCGAATAAATTAAATTTGATTGAGCTTTCAAAAAGGCAAGGTAATGACTTAAAACATACCAAGATTTGAAAATGCCATTCAAATTTTTACAAAGAGAAAGTTCCATTAAGACCAGTATTAAGTATGAAGACATAAAGCCAAAGAACAGACCTATTAACGACTATAAAGCACACGATCAACTACATATTCGTTGATTACGAACGTTCATTACCACTTTGTATCCTATTCCCAGTAAATATCGGTAAAATAATGGCCATATAAATATGAAAAATATATGCGTGAAACAATACACAGAAAGAAGTGGCTGAAACGAAAGTTTAATATATTTTGCTTTCAAAAGTTTACATTGCTTTTTTTGGAAAGAAGATATTCCATAATCAAAATGGATTAGAGATAGAAACACTAAGGACTTTTCAGTAATCAATTGCTAATAAAGGTCGTCGAGAAACAACTTGGTACGACCATCATAACAAGTTTGGATAAATTCGATCATATCTAGATATATCGATCATAAAAAACTTTTTAAATAAGGTGAAAGAAAAATATACAGACCCTTATCCAGTATTGTGTTTTGACAAGACCGAATGTTAGAAAGCCGATACCCATCGAAACATTGACTACCATACGTCCAAAAATAAATTTTAGTGGCAGCATATATGGCTGTGCAAAGTGGTGCGACAGCTTCGGTGATTTACTCAGCAACGAATAAAACTTAAAAATAACTCAAATAAGAATAAAAAAATCTCACAAACTTTTTTTGGGTTCATTCTTGATTACTTTATTCTCATTTTTCTATTTTTATTTAAAAATAGAGCAAAATGTTTGCAAAAAAAACTTATACAAAAATGATAAAGTCAATAAAATCTACCTGTTTTTGTGCTAAAACACAAGCAAATTCGAAAAAGAAAAGGATGAAGTAACCAAGATGATAACCATGCCAAATTGCGAGGTAAATAACCGTTATTAAGTGGCTATAGGTTTGATTACCTAACCATCGGAGTCGTCGATATAAATGACTAAATAAAATATCAACGAATTAATTTTAAGCAAAACAGATTATGAATTTTCCACTTTTCATCACTGGATTCGCAGTGGTATTCGCCTGACACAAGAAAGAGTGGGATTAAACTCATTACACAAGTTTGATTCTGTTCAACCACAATATATAGATAAAAATGCGTCACCTTAAGCAAATTAGTTAAGCTCAAGTTTTGCCATTTACCATAAACAAATCCAAAAACTACTTTTTCGCAAAAGCGTTTGTGCCAACATTGAAACCGTCAATAACACTCTGAAAATCCAAACCAAATTCCCATTTTATTATATGGACATCACGTACACCATCCCAACGATCGTTACCCTTTGAATCTTTTCCATTATATGCAATACCTGCCAATATTGCTGCTCCTTCCTGTAGAAAATCATAGTCTAAATGAGATGGTACAATGTAACATCTACTTCTTCCATAACTTTCGAAGCATCAAGCCTTAGGATGATGCATGGAGTAAACGCATCAATAGAGGACAATTGAAATCTGAACACCAATACCTGCACAACACCTGAATGTAGTGAGTGGCAGATAAATGGCACATAATCGAAAACATACTGTGAAAAGCCAAACAGAAATATATCGACACATAGTAAGTCGGAACCATATTACGATCCAAATTACTTTCCATCGAAATGAGAGCGCCTGAAAATTTATGGATTTCAAATTACACATAACGTGAATTGCTAAAAATTCCTTTATGATTAAGAAAGTCTAGTTCCTGAAAAACTAACAAAGAATTGGGGAGAGTTAAAATATTCATTCGGTATCCATAAGACTCCCCATTGATATATAATCACGTAAAAACAAGCCGCTACAAAACGTCCCAGGCTGGGCATAAACCTGAAATTAAGAACGTTATTTTAAAACGATTATCATCACATCCAAGATGGCCTACTAATCACGTTATGAGCATCCAAATTTAAGAATTAAATAAAAAACTAACCCTGACACACGTACTTCTTTCTTGTTATCAAGATATTCGCCAGCAACAAATGATCGGAACCGAGAAAGGGAGAAAAGTGGTCCAGCAAAGGTACCACAGAAAAAATACCCAAAAGCTGCAATTTCTAAAAAGTCAGGAGGCTTTTTTATTGCTGTCTGTATCTGATACGTTTCCAGTTTATCCTAAATAAAAAAAAACGATTTGACTAATGCACTATATTCGAAACTAGTAAAAAGACATTCATAAAACCACAAGGCCAAATAATGTGCTCTAGACATAGAAAAAGAGAGCAGATGAAACTAGTCTCCTTTCACTGATTCTTTATGAATAAAAATCAGCTATCGTTAAGACATTAACCATATATTTTTTTCTACATAAAGAAAAGGTAAAGCATTTCGTGCGGTAAAATTTTTGAAACTAATTTTATGGAAGCAAAAATAGCCCATAAAATAAAGTCTAGAACAGGAAAAATTTCTGCATCATTTGCGCGCGATAAAACATATAAAATAATTATATCAATTTATAAAAAATATACCACTGGTTTGCGCCCATCGTAAACATCCATAACAAGACCAATGAAACGCAAAGTCATTATGCAAAACGATGTTGTCCAGTTGATATCATAATTATCAGTTTCCGAATAACTGTAGCCAATTAACAAATGCCCCTGAAATTCAAAAAAAACTTTAAAAAAATAGATTTGATGAAAACCATTATAAAAAGACATCTTTATATATTTGCAGTTACAATCATAAATAAATAATTTTAAATCAAAACTGCCCTTGAGATTTAAAACATACATCGATAAATATTCTATATTTAATAACAGTGTAATCAGAAATTAAAAAAATTTAAAACTAAAACTTTATGAAAAGCTACTACATCTAACTCACCAAAAACGCGAAATGTGCTAACACAACCGAAACTTTCTGCCCTGGAAAATATGTGATAATCCAGTACGCTAGCAATATACTTAGAATGCTGTGAAGTGCTGCAGCACCTGGAAAATCGAAGGTTCTCCAAAGAAAGCAATTGCAGAAGAGAAAAGAGACAGATGGCCCGAACTAAAATTAAATGCTTTCCTCTCTTACTATTTTTAGAACGAACATCAAAAATAGTACCATAGTTGAATAGATAAAGTGCTAAACCAGCAATTACAAAGTAAACATGTTGTACAGCAGATGATTTATTGTAAAATATTGACCGATAAATTACCGCCAGTGGGTATCCTGAAAATCTCGTCAGTTTATTTCACTGACACATTTTTATCAGAAATTAACAAGAGCTGCAGAGAGGTTTTTACACTAATAAGAAACCACTTGATTAGCAAAGAAACTGATGAAAACTTTATCAATCTAACAACCAATATCACCTACTAATGATAGATTTGCTGTTTCTAGTCAATAATATACCTAATATTCAGTACTATGCAGAGATACTATCAACACATCTATTTATATTTTGCCAACAAAATAACCTACCAGCAAGGACAGTAATGAACAAGACCAGACCATCTTCACGTATGTGCATTGGTGCTGATAGTGCAGATAATATACCCATTGTTTCCTTTCTTTGTATCCGATAAGCTCACTGAAATTCGTGCTTTCAAGTGAAACTTATAAAACTTGCGAATTCTCAATCTGGCAGGTCAAATCCTAATATGAGTAGCATGTTAATCTACTTTCTACCATTCCTACAAATCTTGCATAGATCACATTTCGAATATGAATCGATGTAAATAAACGAACGTTTACTGCCTGTGTTGGCAGCATGTTTGAAGCAGTCAACTGCTGTAAGTACCAACCTTGCTAGAGAATCTGATTCACTAACACTCGCTGCACACTCTAATGTCCTGATTACCGGGACCCTCCCTAAAATTACCATCCCTATCCAGTGTGACAAACAGTCCAGCATTGGCGTGACACCGTAAGCCATCTTTCGTTATAGAACTCATCAATGTTAATTAAATTTGTGGATTTGGCGGGAGTACTGACAATTTGCTACGGTCACTGGGTCTTGCTTTAGGTGGTGAAGCCTTGGGTGGCGGGTATCTCAGGTGGCAGGGTGCATGTCATGAAAGTACTACAAAATACATTCAAAAAATTACATACAGCAGTTTCACATTCAGGAGTGGAGATGCCGAGAAAAGCGGATCAGCGAGCGAGGAAAAATCTCTCCATCAGTTCGTTTTCTTTTGTATTTAAAGTAATAATTCGTGCATATTGCCCAGCCATACTTCTTTATATTATTTGAAGATGTTAGGACAAAGAAAGTGCAATGCAGCCACAAAGCATTTATGGGGTCCTGTTTATTCTTTGGTGTGGTTTGGAGCTGCACTCATCCAATATAACGAGCTTTATTTAGGAAAGACATATAACGCAGAAAAGATAGGTTATTAGAATAATTTTCACTAGAGAAGGAAGAATTCTCATTCCTGAGGTCTCATTCCTAAATCCCGAAGAAGACCAGTCCTAGAAATCATGTTGTCATGAATGAATAAAAATAGGTCTGTCATTTGCAATGAGTGAAGTATATAATTTAGATAATGAGCAGACTTTTCTACCCAATGCATTGGGAGCCGAGAAATTAAAACATAAGAAGAGAATAAATATGAAAACGAGAAATGAAAATGAAAATACAGAAGATGAAGGAAACATATCGAGATTGGACTATGAATTAAGTTCTTATGGAGATTTGTTAGTCAGAGCTATGAAACCGATTCGTGGCCAGGTATTTCCGTCAAACTCTTTCTTTTTCACCTTAAAAAAAATTCACTTTCACTTACAAGGAAGGTTAAATTGAATTAGAAATTCCTATTTCTTGTTGTGAATGGCTTAGATTTCACACTAACTGAAGCAGTTTTGCAGCAACATCTTCATCAGTCAAATCCCTGTCTCAGCCGTTTCAAAAATTCTGTGTTTTTCAGAAACAGCTCCTGAAACGCCTTTATTCGGATGTAGATGAAGTGTTGGAGAAGTGTACAATCAACGAACTTAGGCGTGCCGTTTATGAACCTTGTTTTATTACTTCATTGGAAGTTTGTGACCCAAAATAGTACCATTATTTCTGTCATTGTTGGAATCTTTATATAGAATTACTATTCTGGCGGGTTGTCTCAGGTTTTAGCTGCCCTTCGATGAAGCATCCTGTAAATCAATTAATTTACTTCACAAATAATCCGATTAGTAGAGAGTTGCTTAAATTTCTCAGGACTTGCGGATAATCTTGTTTGTACATAAGATTCTTCTGTCGGTTCATAGATTGTTGTATTTTATTTTTCATTAAATAATTTTGAGTTCTGATTTTATAGTTAAGATTGTTAACATTTCAATATATGCTCAGGGCAAGAAACTGGCAGCTCATTTCATTCTGAGAATTGGTATTGACAAATTCTGGTTGTTAGTCAAGAAAGTAGTTACGTCCGAGAAGACTAGCAAGTTAGTAAAAATTTGTTGGTTTTCAACCTCAAATTGAATCGATTTTCGTACTTTTGAATTTTTTAATCCATTTCTATTATTTGGTTCAATTTTTATATACTCGTACTTGAGGGTGCAATGTGTCAACTATGGTGAGGTTTTATTATTGGCCTGGAAAAACGTTGTGAAGGATGGTGTCAATAAATTCCAGGATCGGCTGGAAAGAATTTTTATGGACGTCGTCTATTATGCCTTACAGCATCTTCGTTGTAATAAAAAATTTATGGCGGTATTATTTTTCTTTGTAATTTCATTGAACTTCAGTCAGTTGCCTTCAAAAAATATGTATATTTTATTTTGAGCGTCTTATGAATTAGGTAAGTAGAAATAGTTACAGTTACCGGGCCATAAACTTCCTAGTATAAATTCTAGAAAGGAATTTGATATCCAGATAATCATAGCAAAACATTAAAAAATCAATTTTGATACTTGCATTAGAATAATTTTAAATATTATGTGACTTTTATAAAATTTAAATATCATGTGATTTTTATGAAATTTCAAGAATTGCAGATGCTCGAATGTTTCGGGAAAGCTAGAAGCAAACAGATTGATGCAATGATATACCGTACATTCGAGCCGAATTTGTGGCGTTGTTTGAAGGTTTTCATTCTTCGTATTTTTTTTGATTGAGTTAGCATTTTACTGGTTGAGAGAATTTAAAATTTGAAAACATAGTTATTAAATCTATTTTTTTAATTAATCAATACTGTTTAAGGCGGCTAACGAAACAGTGCGATACAATGCTTGCTGCTTATTTTTGCCGTTCTATCCATTTGTGTCGGATGACGATATCGTATGTTTTAATTAAAAGAAGGATTGTATTAGGATGCAAGACACTAGATTTTTATCAGTTTGGTTGACAACCTTGTCTGCTGTAATATTGCGGGTTATAACTAGAATTGGATCAGTCACTGTGTTTTGTTCAACAACTTGATATATTTAATATGAGAACAAAGTATAGTACATTTTTAGCATTTAATATGCACATATACATATACATATTTATTTATTCATTCATTCATTCACTTATTCATTCATTTATTCATTTATTTATTCATATATTTATTTTAGTTAATTTAATTAATTAATTTGTCTATTTATTTATATTTATTTATTTAACTAATTTATTTATTATTTACACGTAGGAATTCGCAAACAAATCCAATATCTTGCCGATTATCTGAAATTAAGATTAAAATTCGCCTTTCACCAAAAAAAATTGCATAGTTTGTTTCGAACGAAGATACAGTTTCTGCGAAATAACTTTTAAAAGAAAAAATTTTTCACTGCAAGTTCTAATATGCTGTTTATTTAATTGACATCGCGTAAATTTCTTTACCAGTATTTTGCCTTAGTTATTGGATTATCTATTATTACTTAAACTGTTTACTCCAAACAATCATTGTGATAAAACGCCAAATCGATTTTTTTAAAATACTTCCAAACATGAAGTATGTTGTTAAAGCATGACCTTCTAGTTGAAAATGAATCTGTAGGTAATAAGACATTCAGTTAAGGATTATATGGAAGGGCATTTTGCATAATTGATTTCGAGCACAAAACAACACAGCTAATCTTACATGTTCAAATGAACGCTGTCAAAATAATTAAGTTTATTCACTGAAAATCGAAGCTGTAATTCCAAATTAGTTCGTTCAGGAAAATGCGGAAAATATCAGTATGCAGCAAGGAATAATTATCGATCTTCTAAAGGATGATAGTTATGGAATTCGGTCTGAAGCATGCAGGCGAACATTATTTATATTGAGCACTTATTTCGACACATTTCCTCTTGATTTTATCAAGCAATGTTTGACGCAAGTAATTTTTAATATTTAACATATATTTCAACATTTAACTTTAGCTTTTTCAATTACCTTTTGAGGATGATGAGGTGTAGGTTTCATTCATTTCTTTAGTAAAAATTATAATTGAAGTATTGACTTAAGTTACGCAGGTAGTTGAACTAGCGCAGCCTGTGTTTTTTATCAGTTTTCTTTTGTGGGTCTAATTTTGATCTACAAAGTAATAGCGTCTTACCACAAAATAGTTTATCATTGTTACCTGTAATTGTATGCACTACTGCCACTACTGCAGATTATCGATGTTTTATCAGTGGATAGTATTGTTAGCGTAAGGATAGCAGTTTACGAAGGAATGCGCGATCTTTTACGTTGCGGAAGCGCTCTAAATGCTTGTGAACGGGCCCTAAAATGCTTATTTGATAATAGAGGAATCAATGACCGTTGTGATCACGTTCGACTGGTTGCATTTGAATTACTGAATGCGCTAGTAGGCCATCGTTTCATCAAGGTTTGTTAATATTAATTTTTTCTTCTGGAAAGTAACTTAAATTGGTGTAGAAAGCAAATATGCTAGATTTGAGGGAATTTTTGGTGATTGTTTCATGGTAAAACTTGTAGTTAGCAGAAGTAGAAAACTGAATAAGGGAAGATTTCATTTTTTTGATAAATTATGTGAATAAGAAATGTTTTAGCTTAGCGAGGTGGTGAAGATGGATCGCATTTTGAAGGTGTTTGCGCTTGAGGAATCTGACATGGTTCGAAAAGAGGTAAATAAAATTATTTAAAATCATTATTTAATTATGACAATACTCTTACTTTGCTTTCATCTGTTGATATTTTTTCTTTTTGAGATTGCAAAACTGTTACTGCCATTTTATATGAAACCAGGACTGAGTCCGGATGAGGTAATCCGTCGCATAATTGTTATGGGACATGAGAGTGAAATCGCTGCTTTATCTTTCCATCATATAATTACTGCTGAAAATTTATTGCCAATCGAACATGCTGGTTGGTTTCTATAACTCGATCTTTGATTTCTATATATCAGGGCACTGGAAACGAGCATCTTAAATAATAAAAAATCGAAGATGTTAAAAAGATTATCCGAATAACATCTGATATTTGTTCGCGTTTTACAATTAAATTTTGTTGGCTATTAATTTTGCATATTTTTCATCAGTACAACACGGGAAATCATTGGTGCTTGCTGTATATAAAACACTGCGTTCGTTGAAAGGAATTGATGGCTGCGAAACAGATGAGGCGATATCTGTGTGCTCGGAAGCGACTACATGTGAAACATTCATTGAGCCAGTCCAAGGTAAAATTTTGTAGTCTATTATTTGTTTTAATGCCCAACAAAACAATCCTTTCCCAAAAAAAATTTTAACTTCGTATTTCATCGCGATATGGATGCAGCAGGAACTCGGTAATGTCAAGTTAACTGAACTCGTTCCTTAGAAACTTCAGTCAAGTTAATTGAAAAACAACATAGTCCATACTGGTTCCATTAACTTGATCGGCAAATAACTTACTAAATTTTGATAACTCTGTATGACCTTCTATAGATTGATGTGCAGTAGCTTTATCCTGGTCAAGGAACTCCGTGTTTGGCTAGACATATTGATGATTGGATCAGTCTCAATTTTTGGAGAAAAAACGATTTTTTGAATAATAGAATTAATCTTAATACAGATGAAACAAACGAAAAATTCGAGCTTTGGCGTTCATCGCATTTGCTGTTAAACTGTTTGGTGGTAATGTGGCTTCCGCTACGGCTTACTTTGGATGACGAAAAGTATGCAAAAGAAAACGAAAATCTGAGGAGACTTCTCACTAAATTATTCAAATTTGCATTTTTGCATTATCGAGTAAGTAAAGGTTGAAGGACTCCAAACTTCAATCAAATATTTTCAATTTTTTATTTGAAGGGTTTTGCTCAAAATGAATGTTTGTTTTTAAGGTTGATAATAGGACATCGATGATTAGATGAGCGGTAAGACTAATCCAAATTGCTTGAAGAGATTTTTAAGTCCAAAATCAGTTTTCTGGAGTCAGATTTTATTATTCTTAATGTTGAAGTAAATAACAAATACTTTTAGAATACGTCGATTTTGGAAGCAGTGATGCATTTGGGCAAAACTTTGGACAACTGGAAGGAAGGAAGAGTATTAGTGTTGCAGGAACTGTTACAAAATTGTAGTTTAGATGATGAAAAAGCTACAGTTTATTTAGAAGCAGCTACCAGTTGGGATTTTTTGGCTCTCTTGAAATTTATCGATGATGGTATATATATATATTGAAATTCAGAATTTTTGAACTGTCATTATCAGATTTTACTGTTTTTTTTTGATTTTACTGTTCAAAATTTCCAGCATTCGAAACTGTGAAACGAGAAACGTGCGGTGATAGTCCGCTAAAGAAGCGTGAAAAGAAGTCGAAACTTCCGAGCGATGCGTTTAACAGAGTAAGTTTTCTTTTTCTTCATTTTGATTTGTTTTTTTTCTCTTAATCAAATATCATTTATTGGTTAGTTGCTTCTGATTTCATCTTTTGACTATTATGGCAAATTTGTAGTCGTTATTGTATTTGGATCGTATCATGAAACAACCCGAAATAAGGCATCATTTGGAGTACAACTATGCCAGTTATGTTTCCAAATATTGCAAGGTGAGGACAATTTTGCATAAATAAAACTAATAACAGATGGTTTTTGTATTTATAATTTTATTACAAGATAATTCCCTTTTTCGCATAAGCGAGCCATAGTTATTTTTAGACTCTCACTTCATTGCGGCAGTTAATTATGGAAAATATTTTACAAAAAGGATTTCGGTCCCCTAGCCTTACTTTTACTTTTGAAAATATAATTCGCGGTATCCGCATGCAGTATATTCTGGCTGTTATGATTCTTAGTGGCAACAAGAAGGTTTCATTTTTTTTCCAAACAGAATGCGAAAAAGATGAGCTTATTTTAATCATTTAATGAAATCATACAAACTTGAAGAATATTTTCATTAGTATTTTTTCAGTACTTCGAGTTTATCTTTTTAACTTTAGAAAAATGAAAAATTCAGACGCAGTAACTATCTCTGGTTATAAATATTAAAACCATTTCTCTAATTTTCAGGATGACGAAGAAGAACTGTTGAAAAATATGCAGGATGATGTGAAGTGGTTAAAAGAGTCTGTTATGCCAGAATTTTTAAAGGATCTGACCGATGAGCAATTGGACATGATAATCAAAGTTTGCGAGGTATAAAATGTTGCGTAGTCAAAAATTGTTTGGAAAACATTTAATGAGGTCTTTTTTTAGCAGTTAAAAGAATTTTTAAGGGAAATTCCAAGTTTTTATTTCAAGATGAAACAAAAAAAAATCCTGGAGTTTAATCCTACAAATGAAAAAGAGAGCTCATAGTAGGATAAATGAGAGATACATTTCAGACATATATCTGTTTGTGGACGCAACAGCTTAAGACGTATAACGCACCATTTGCGTTCAGAGTAGAATTGTGTGATATTCAGTGGATTGATAATATGAAAAACAGTCCTGGTGCTGTCAAACTTTTTACAGCTGTGATAGAATTGTTCAAAAATTTGATTATTGCAGCGGTTCGTTACGCAAAAGTTGCTATTTTCCGTACATTTTCACTTCAAAAATTAGAAAGCATAAAAGCTGTATTATTCATTTTATTCTTAGGCCGTCAATAATGAACTGGAAGAAATATCGGTGGCAAGTTTATCTGTTTCCATTTTCAAATATTTGACTACCTGTTCAAAGTGCAAGTTTAGCGATTTTGACCGTAAAGTAGGTTTTCCATTCTATTCATTGCTCAATATTTTTTTTTCTTAGTTTAAGTATCGTCTTGAAAAACTTGAAAATTATACAAATTAATTTTTGTTTGAACTAAAACTGTATTCGGAAACTCGATCTATTTGTTGAAATTGTTGTATTTGAAGTATATGTTACATGTGTTTATTATAGAATGCAGCAGAAGGATGGCTTTCTATCTGCAACACTTTGAACAGCTTCAGTTTGCTAACGTCGAATGCAATTGCTATGCAAGCAAAAACTATTGCTAATTTAGTTTTAGAAGAATTTTCGGAGATCAATAAAAAGGTATTGGTTTAGTTGAAAGTAAATCTTATAAAATTTCAGTGTTGCGTTTTAATGTCTTTTCTTTTTATATAGATCTAGTGTATTGATAATTGGTTTTTTCTTTTTTCTGAGGTCGAAATTTCAGTTTTCAGGTATATAAAAAATATCTACTCCGTAAGATTTGTTTTTCCTCTTTCTGGAAATTGGAAGTTTTCAAAACTAGTCTGATTTTCTACATAAAGTTTTAATAACCGGCTCGTATTTTCATTAATTTAGAATGGCATATTTAGGTAGGGATTATTCAGAACCCAATTGGTCCGGGCTTGGAACTTAATTTGGTCATTGATTTCTGGATTAACAAAATTTTGTTAAAGTACCGATTATTACGCTGGTAATTCATTTTCTCTACTTCATTTTTTTTAGCAGTAACAATTTTAGATCTTGATATAAATAAAATCGACACTCAATTTCCATAACTAAATCTCTTATTTCTCAAGTTTTTAAGCAAGCTTAAATTTCTAGCAATATTTAGGCTAGATGAGATCTGTATTCTCCGACGATATTATATGTTTTCGATAATTTTTCTGAAATAGTTGTCTTAACTCGCCTAAAGGACACTTTTGATTTTATGTGCTGAATTGAGAAATTTGTTGAACATGTGAGGTAATGACTTTGTGGCTTAGTTAATAGTCAACTAAAGCACTCATTATTTGCTTTCTACAGCTCTGTACTTGCTTACCTCAAGGATAAAATTGAAGATCTATTTTCAAATGCTGTGCAAGAGGACGAAATCCATTGGTAAGCTTTTTTTCTTTTTGTTGTATTCCGTAGGGTGGTTGAAAGATGATGGATTTTTTTTTAAATCTTAAAACTTAATTATCACTCAGATTGCGAGATGGAAATGATCAATTTCTAAGTGCTTAGATGTAATTGTTAAAATATAATTGGATGAGATTTTTGCAAATCATATTTTTGATTAATATAAACTTCTCCTTCTTGAGGAACATTTTCAGTTGTGGAGCAGTGATACAATTTCTCTTGCTTCTTCGTAGTTCAGCAAAGAAAATTCCGAGTACCCCAATTAGCTGCAGCGTGCGGAAAGATACAAATTTGTATGAAACATGTGTGGAGATATTGGGTGAGCAATTAAGGAGATCAGGTTATAAATATGAGAAAAATGAAATGTTTTTGCACATGGATGTTCTTCTTAAAGAACTGTAAAACCATTTTATAAACATGGTTTTTAATATTTTGAATAAAAATATCAACATTTTTGATTATTCTGTCTTACTTATAAAGCAGGAGTTTGTAAATGTCTAATAACAGCATTCAAATCTTGTCAATGATTTTTTTGTGAGATTTTTGTAATTCTCCTTATTCTAAAATTTCAAAAACTTTAATAAAAAATGAATGATTTAAAATCACTTCAATATTACGATCGACTACTGTCTCATTGAATTTTCAAAAGAGGTGATGATCATCATATAACTGTCGTTAGATCGTTCGTACATAGTATGTTCAGTTTTATATCACTACTACTGTGATGTAATTAGTTGCATTTGTGTCAATTATTGTTCCATTTCTTCGCCCGTAAATTGCGTTCAATCACTAGCTGTTTTGGTGAGATGTTTTAATGAGATGATTTTTTTTCCTATTTGGTGAAAGAAGAAAATTTATGAGATTGGGAGACTGAATCCTTAAGGAGAGTTTTCATTAGAGCCATGCATATCATTTTCTAATGAAAGTTTTCAATATCTTTGAACCTTTATATTTTATGTATATATTTGAAATTTCATTATCTTAATTTTGAAATTTTCAAATTTATAACTGATGTAAGGTTTTGTTAATGTCTTATAATTCATGATATTGCATAATATATAAGTTTTTGTCGTAGTAATTTTGTCTTACACGAAGATCGAAATAGGACAATAAATATATATTTCTTCAATTCGATTCCATCTCCACTGCGACTGCTATTTTCATCGTCTGCTTATATATTGTTTTCAATTAATAAATTTTCTGTAATGGAGTGATTATATTCAAGAAAAGGAAATTCTACATTAATGATTAAGTAGATTAGGAATCCAGGAATGAGAAAAATAGTTCAGTGAAAATAATGGTCGATATTTTATGGCCTCATTATAAATGTTTGTGTTGAAAATTGGAAAATTATTGGAAGTGTATAAATCATACTTGTTAAATATTGCTTATAACTGACATGAAAACGAACCGACAATCTGAGACAAAATGAAACCTGTTGAGGATCTCCTATTCAATCTCTTGCAACATAGCAGTCATTGAACAAAATTTAATCCCTTTATTTTCACTTCTACCATAGTAGTAGGCGTATGTGCTAGTCTGTCTGTTTGTCATTACGCACACACACACATACACACACATATAAACACACCAATGCAAAGGAGATACGCAGTTGTTTGCAATGCTTTCGTACATTTTGCAACTACGACAAATAGCCTGTACTTCTCGTCATCATGCGATGGCTGCCACCAGCAATCACTGTTCTATAATATCTATTATTTATGGTACGACTTTGAGGACAGTTTGTCATCTGTGGATCTGCTTTTTACTCTTAATTTTATGCGGCTGCATAATCGTGCTGCATTTAAGTTCTGCAGCTAAAATAGCCAATAGAAATATTTGTTCCTGGAGAGTTAGCAATCTTAGTGTGATTTTTTTTGTTGTTAAGCTGTTAAAGCAGGAGATAGGCTTGTTTAAAGCTCTTAAGCGCAGATTGTGTTTTAATCCAGCATTGCACAATCTAATTCATCTTTTGAACTGATTACCAGAGGAATGAAATACTTCATCTTATTTATTAATCTATTTATATCTCGGAGAAGTCATAATTATTCCTCTGATTTCTTGTAGATTTTTTAATCGTACATGAAACGTACCGATAATTGAAATGGATGATTATGTTATGTGTTGTTGATTATGATTATGTCTTGCTTCGCATTGTGCCAGGTTGCCTTAAGTCTAAATCTACGGTTTAAATTTAAGGAATTAAATCACTTACCTCATTATAGTCTTCTATTATTAAATTAACATTCAAATCAAGCACGAATATCGATGTATTTATATTACAACAGAAATTCGATGTTGATTTTACTTCTTCCTAATCTGAGTTAATTTTTCTTTCTTTATAATGATGCAGCTTATTTACTGAAACAAAACAGTTTACAAAAGAGACGGAGAATTTGTACATTAAACTAATTTTTGAACTTAAAATATTTGATATTTGATGCTACTGCATTTCTACAGCAACAATTGCTTCGCGGCAGCAGCTGTTTTACACTTCTGTTTAGGAAATGTTCCGAAAATTCTGCAAATCTTATAAATACAAATTTCATTGATAGTTGTTATTTTTCAGAATTTTCAAGTATTTGCAGTTATCTTTCCAAATTTCGAATGAAAATCCATTGAACTGTTTCCGTGATATAAATTGAAATCTTAAAAAATCATAACTTAACAATAATCTTCATAATCGTAACTTTACAGTAACCTCCGTAATTTTAATTGTCAAAAATAAAGAATACAATTTTTGTAAGCTAAGGAAGTTTCATTTAAATGATCGAAAATGCCGTAAGGTATGGATGACATAAGGCCCATACTTCTTTTATACGAATAATTTCTATATTGTTAGCTGGTTCATCAATTTCTTCATTGTCTTTATTCTGTTCATTGCGAAAATCCCATCATAAAATGGGATGATTAATGCAAGATAAAATTTGAATTTATTTTGGAATTATATGATTCATTTCACAACCGATGAATATTTGTTTTATTTTAATGAAATTCACATTTTTTCCCAGCAATTTTAAATTTAAAATTTATTGATTTTTGTTAATTTATTAATTTTGGTATAAATTTTATCTTCCTATTTCTATTTCTAGTTTTATAATTTTGAGTTAATCATCAGTATTTATGAGTTAATCGCGATCATCACCGATATTTGTCAGTTAATTCGGTCAATTTCTGATATTAATTAATTGAATTAACTGAATGTTAATTATTCATTCGAAATTTCAATAGCTAAAAAACAATTGATGGAATTTTTTGTTGTAATCTGTAGATATGAGAGATAATAGAAAAGATGAACAAAGAAGCGTAATATTTTTTTGAATTACACCATTTACTTCATTGATTTAAAACGAATTTAATCTATGAAATTTTGCTAAAAAGAATTTGATTAAAATTTTTAAAAAAATATCTTGGAAATTTTGCAAATTTTCAACTCTCATAATTATCAATTAATCATTTAAATAATTAATTTATTTCATAATTTAAAGATAATAAATATCATTTATCAGCACTTTCATTCATATTATTGTGAAACAGAAGAGATTGCTTGGAACAAACTTTTGCGCCGCTGTTCTTAAGTGAAAGTTTTCATGATAGATTGTTTGGCCTAATTTGTGGTTCTAATTATGAACATAGAGATGACCGATAGATACACATCTACATCAATATAGAGAAATCTGTAACCTTCTTAGTTCATATATATTGAACATTTTTGAACACTAATAACGGTTCTTCATTTCTAATTCTTCTTTTACACCTTATCCCTTCTATCATTTCTCTTTCTCTCTTCTTTTAATCTCTTTTCACAATTTTCTCCCTTTCTTTTTTTGATACACATTTCGAATCGACAAATGGGAGTTGATTTAAAATCATCAAATGTGCTGTGTTATATGTAACAGATTATCAGAATGGATGATAAGATTGTATTGAGGGGGGGTGGGGGAACATTCAACATTCGTATCATCATTATTTTATTCGTTTTAATTTTTATTTTTATCAGTTTTGCCGCTAGTTTAGTTATTATCATTATCAATGAGAATTGAGAATACGAAATTACTGATAAGATTAGAAATGATATATGAAATTTCATTAATATAACCTCCTCTCTCTATCATTTCAAGCTTTTTTTCTTAAACTTTATATAAAACTTTTCCTTTTTTTAAATTTTATGTAATATGAGAATTTTTAATTTTTCCACTAATTAAATATTCCATTAACCATTATGATTCCTCTGTAAAGTCAGTATCTGTAATACATGGCTAAAAATAGAAATAAAGCTGAATATTATTAGCATTGTCTAAATTTCTCTAATGATAGAACTTAAAAATATATCAATGATTTGTATTGCAGATTTGCAGAAAGAGAGAGAGAGAGAGAGAGAGAAAGGGATTCACCGGATACAATAATTTGCTTGAAATATATCGAGATAATATATGCCTTACTATACAGTATTTAAGAGAGACAGAGAGATTCAATTAAGTTCACAGAACAATTTGCTACTATTAACGACATTCATCAGCACACTTTCATATTACAAAAATTCAATTAACGGATGACTCGTTAAGGTGTGATCTTTAATTTTTAGGAGTTTGTTGCAAAAAAAAAAGAGCAACAATCTCTTTCAATTTTAGAGCAATGATATTTGTTAAATTCAGAATCATTTAATGAAATACTTTTCAAAGCGGATTACCACCGAGAAACAAACTAGATGAATACGTGTGTGAATTGAATACGTTTTAACTGCAACCTAGCGTAAAAGTTAAACGCTGTTATTCCCGATAACGTAAACGGAGCAACGACTAACGTCAGATCATATAATCATAAATAGTATTCCGTGAATTTCATTAATTTATTTATAGCATGTATGGATGCCAACAAATTATTTGACGCTTTCGTTGCAGCTACAAGCTTTACTAAAATTCAGCAATTATTCTCTCAGCTCTGTGCATTGCTAGATATCGATCCATATGATAATTTCAATGTTTTTAAAAGGTATAATAATTATCAATAGTTAATTATGACATAACTTTGTAGTATTTGATGATGGCATAATTAGAAAAGAATTTACTTGATTTTAATAAGAATGATGTTTATTTTATTTACTTTAATTCGTTTTATTTTTATATTGAAGTTATCATTTAAACTTAGACTGTCATTATCAATGTAGCTGTAGTTGATATTTGAATAGTTTATTTTGATTTTATGATTCTGCAAAAATTCAGAAAAAGTGTTAGTTTTGTAAGCAAAAGAAATATACGGAAAATGTAGTTGAGACAGCTCCTTGTGGTTAAAGTTGACTCATTTATCATTTTATGAACGGTAGTTTCTCGAGTGAAAAAATGTAACACTGTATGAGTTTTTATTTTTACTCTGATACAGTCAAAAACTGGAAATTATTTACTTCTACTCGACAATCATCTATTCTTCAAGGCTGACATTAGCTGTAAAGGCACTTTCTAGTTATTAATAATAAAAACGAACTGCAAGAGAAAATCATTTCAGCATTAGTTTTAGTCTTTTAACGGAGAAGAAAAGGGAGATAAAAAATGGATCTACCAAAAAGGCATAAGAAAATGAAGGTGGCAGAACTTTGGCTTCAGTAATGATTTGTTTATAAGGTATTCACACATGGTTTGAGTGAACATTAATGATTAAGGAACAGGAAATAAGTGAAGATTAAGGCATGAAAATCTATGTGTTAAAGTCTAACTACGAAAAGGACAGTTTCAAATAGATTGCTTCTGTGAAGTATAAGATGTTTTGTCTTAAGTAATATTTGATTATCATCAAATCAAGTTAAACTTACAAACTGAAACGATGCATTGAAATGGACAAGAAGAACTTTACATGAATTCTGATAAAAGAGCTAAAGTTTTTAGTTTTGACGTTTTTAGTCTTGACATTTTGAATTAGATATTCATATCTACAGATTGAAAACAGTACTGAATGATTGGCGCGCGCAGAAGCTATGGTCACTGTTAGAAAAACGGGCCGAACAAAAGGAATATTGTCACCAAAAGGCGTGCGAACGTTTAAGTGTGCTTGTCATTGGAGCTGGTTGGATTTTCGATCTTTTTGTGAATTTCAAATCTCAGCCAGCAGCAACATATTAAAAAATTCTACCAAATATTCGTTTATTTTTGAACGACTGTATCGTTCGGAAGCTTGTTTTCCTTGCAAATACCAGTAGGGATTAGCATATGCACTGTCGAAATTTTATGCCTTAAGTACTAACTTTATAATCATAATGTTGGATTAAAAAATCAATTTAAGGACCATGCGGCTTGCGATCGGCAATTGAGTGTGCATTACTGGGAGCTTACGTTGTGTTGGTGGAACAACGAGATTGTTTTTCAAGAAACAATGTTTTGCATATCTGGCCATTTGTTATACAGGATCTCAAAAATTTAGGAATCAAAATATTTTATCCAAAATTTTGTCGCGGTAGCATCGATCATATAAGTTGGTTTATTGTTATTGGTAATTTACTGAAGTTAGTTCATAGCCGTGTCTCTTTGCATTACTTATTGTTCAGGATTTTACTAACTCTGATTTGTTATGAATATTGAATGCTTCCAATTATGAATATTGAATGAATTCTGGTTGTATGTTTCTTTGTTGTTTTCTCTTTTTAAAATATTTTTTTATTTTTTGATTTATAATTAAATTTTAGCATTTATTTAGTCTTAGTTGGACTAATTTGATTTTTTTTTTACAGGTATACGCCAATTGCAAATATTTTTGGTGAAAATTGCATTGGTTCTGGGTGTTCAAATACATGATTCTATCACTTTTCAACATCTTATTTTTCCCAAACCTAACGAGAATGGGATAGGTAATTCAGCGTTGTTTAAAATTAAGTGGGTGATAGTCGAAGAAAGTTTTGCTTTTTATCCATCTCAAATATTTCGATGGTTTTGTTTTACATTGTTGACCTGAGTCATTTCTGATTGAAATCATTGTTATAGTTGAAGGATGGCGAGCAGAATTTAGTCCTCCAAAGCATATTCTGTCGGATTTCGTCTTTGATGCTTTAATTGGTGCCGATGGAAAACGTAATACTGTGCCAGGTTTGCAGCTTTATTAATTTTTTATTCGCTCACTGCCGTTGTAGGAAGGCCTGAAAAACTCGATATATTATTTGAATTTAGTGTAACAACTATAATTTACCAGCATAATCTATCAAAATAAAATCATGTTTTTAGGCTTTCCGAAACGGGAAATGCGTGGCAAATTGGCAATTGGAATAACTGCAAATTTTGTGAATCAACGAACGCTTGCTGAAGAAAAAGTACAGGAAATAAGGTTCTATTTAAAATCCTTGGCAATTTTTTTGCTTTTTTTAGAAAGGATCCAAATGCCACAAGTATTAAAGCTAAAAGAGTGCTTTATGATTTGAAAATTCTAATCCTTGTGCTAACGTTTCTTTTCAATCTTTTATCAGTTGAACTATTGAAATCACATCTCACCATTAGTGATATCATTGAAATGAATTGTTCTATATAACTTCTTTAATTTTCATTTTAATTTTTTTTGGCTTCTTCAGTGGTGTTGCTTACATTTTCAATCAGCAATTTTTCAAAGATATGAAAGAAGCGACAGGTGTCGATTTGGAGAATATTGTTTACTATAAAGATGAAACGCATTATTTTGTAATGTGTGCTAAAAAACAAAGCTTGTTGGAAAAAGGCGTCATTATTGAGGTTTGTTGCTACTTTAACCGAAGTTATTGGGTTAAAGGTTTATTTTTCGAGTTTTTCAGTTCAGTATTCATTTGTAATAGTATTATTTCTGTTATAGGACAATGAGGATGTGTCGCTTCTTTTATCGCCTAATAATATAAACCAGGTATTATATATTTTTTTCTGTTTGCTCCTCATGCTTAGAAATGATTTGTGCAAATGAGTTTTTAGGAAAAGTTATGTGATTATGCGGCAGAAGCAGCCGATTTTGCTACAGGCGGTAACCTTCCTAATTTGAAATATGCACGAAATCACAACGATAATGAAGATGTTGCAATGTTTGATTTTACATCATTGTTTTCGGCACAGTGTTCGGTACGGCTTGTTGAACGGTATGATCGCCGATTACTAATGTCGATTGTTGGGGATAGTTTGCATGAGGTGGGTGTTTTCAACATGTGCAAAAGAACTGATATGGCCTATAGATGATTGATTTGTTTTTTTGAGTACGATTGGAGCAATAAATTTATGATGTCAGATCGTCAAAACTGTCTTTTTACACAATATATTGTCTCTGCAGTTAATATGACTACCTCTGATATATTTTTGAACAAATCCATACAAAGAGATAAATTATTTTTGGCTTGGAGCAGTTAGTGGTCGTTAAGGTATATTAACAGAGAAATTTGATATTGCTGGGTAAATGAAATGAGATCTCATAATCTTTAAAGAAGATTAGGAAGTTTCAATAAGCTGCTTCTAGGATGCAAGATGAAAATAGCTTTACTGTTGCTGTTGAACATTGTTACAAACTGTTTTCACTGTTCAGTATGAGAATTATAAATTTGTGACTGAAAGATTGCAATTTATTTATATATTTTCTTTTCTTATATCGGTATGTGATTTTAAGAAATCTTCAATTGCAGCCTTTTTGGCCTACAGGCTCGGGATGTGCGCGAGGGTTTTTGGGCGTTTTTGATGCGATCTGGATGTTGAGAGGTTATGGGTTGAATGTGCAAGGTCTGATGGTACTTCTCGCTGAACGTGAAAGTGTTTATCGATTACTGGCACAAGCGAAACCGGATAATCTGCATAAACAGACTCATAAAGTATATTTAAAAAATTTTATTAGTTTTATTACGTGAAGTTTTTCTTTTAGCTTTAGTTGATCATGATGCATACCATGTGTAGAAAAATCACGTATAACAACTAGAAATTGAATTGCTATTAATAGTTTATGTAAAAATTTGCAGGAATTTTGCTTCTTGTATTGCTCAGGACATGCTTTTATGCTTTGCTTTTTACAGATCGTTTCGGTTGCATTGAAAAGCTAGCATTGGAAGCTTAGTTTTTATTGCAAAAAAAGAAAGAATATACAAATCTATTTTTTACAGTATACGATTGATCCACGAACACGTTACATTAGTCTGGAAATGGCAGTGCAGCCTCATGAAATAAGTCATCTTATTGATACGGATAATCCACGAAATGTGGAAACAAATCAGGCTTTATCACTACGAGCTGCTAAAGCATCTGATTGTGTCAGTGAAGCATATATTAAAAGGTATTTTATTATCATTTTTATTTGGATTCAGATACATTAGGTTAACATTTGTATTGTAACTATGAGGTTTTTGGCAAATCGGAATTATTAAAATTCATTTAAAAGTCAAATTCACGAATTTGCAGATATAAGTTATGGAAGTTCTGTCACCAGTCGCTTGCTGCATATCATTTGCACATTTTCAACTTCCTGGAGTGGTAACTTACTTGAATTTTGGTTTACATGTTTTTTTCTTTTCTTAAACGATAAACTAAGAAATAGAGGAAAGTGAAATATAAATTTTTAAAAATTTAGTTGGAACGATGGACGCGCTTTAGCTGCTTTATTAGGAAAATTTCGTCCAGATTTGGTGGATTATTTATCTCTTTGCGCTATTGATGATCCTAATTCGATGCTTGAGGTAAATTGTTTGAAAAGTTTACGATCTTCATAAAAATAATTTAGATTTTACTATTAATGAGTTCAACTTCCAAATCAAAAATTTGTACATACTAAAAATACACTGTTCATCTAACTCTGTTTTGTGCAAATTTTCTTTTTAGAACGTATTTGCTGCAGTTAAAAAGGAGTATGGCATTGAACCACCTTGTAAAAATCATGCAGAATGGTCTGATATAAGCGTAGATGCACGAGTTGTCTATATAGGCAGTATTGTTGAAGCACTAAAAAATGATTCGCAGAGAATGCGGGAATCTCTAATGAATGCTATTAGAACTAGTACAATATCTCACAAGCGGAAGACACGACAGGTAACCGTATTTTCTAATATTTATATTTCTTGCTAAAAAATAATGTAAGCCATCAAATTTAAGAATTATAAGAAGTATTTATGCAGGTAGATACTTCTCGTACGAAGAAAACCGAACCAATCCGTCGGAAAGCATCCGATCTTTTAAATGCTTTTTCATCAACTACTATATTGAATGCAAATGTTAAACGAATGATGAAAGGTTTTATGGAGGACAGGCAGGATATTGATGTAGAAGAGGTTTAATTTTCTCTTGTTGTTTACTTCCGGTTGAAATTTGAATCTGTCACTGCCGTTATTATTTAAAAATCTTCATGTTTACGTAAACAATGCTATTTGTAAAAATCATACATATTGAGTATTTGCGCGATATTGTTTTTTCCTGTTTTAGAGTTTTCAAAAATTGGTAATTTGATTTCATAGCATTATGTCAGATCCGAGATGCAATAACAGACCTAAGTGATGATGAGAAATGCAGCTATTCCTGTAAACGCTTAGACCGAAATGTTTTCACACGATCAACCGGATCTCAACCTGTAAAACACAGGACCAGGCGACCAGTCGTTGAGAAACTAAATCCTGAGCGACTATATGCCGTGAGAAATTTTATTTATTTCTTTAGTTGTCGTAAGTAGCAAGTAGATATAGGATTTTGTAATAATAAAATATTTAGTTTGGGTAATGTATTTAGCGTAATTTTTTGGTTGCAGGTTTTCACAACTGATTCAGTTTTCTTTTGAAGAAGTACTTGCTAACTAAACTACTAATTTCAATTACAGGTCGAGAAAATTGTAAGTGGTAGACTGGAGAGGGAGAAGACAGAAGAAATATATCGGAATAAACAGCGACTGGCAAATGTTTTGACGAGGAAAATGGATAAACGCGACATTGATGAAATGAAATTAAAACTAAAGCAAACTGCTATGGGCTTGCTTTTCAATAAGGAACAATATCGGGTTCTGACTTCCAAGGAAGAGAAAGTAAGCAGTTTATTTTAAGATGTTATCACATTTACGAAGTTTTGTTAAGAGTGAAATTTTCAATAAAGTTGTCACGCTTTTTTTTAAATCTAATTTTGGATTCTACGATAAGATATGCATATATTTCTTTGTTTATCAAAAATTAGATTGTTTCATTCTCCTGCACTTCCACTTGCAGCATGCACATCTGAATTACTCAAAATTTCATTCATTTTCGTTACTTAGCAATCATGTAGTGAGATTAGTTTTTTTGTTCAAAACTTGGCATTGACTTAGTTTTGTTAGTGATAGAAAGGCATATTAGTATTATGTATTATAGATCATCTGCACGAATGCGGCAGCGGCCCGGCGAACTGTCAGTGAAGGCTTCAAACATGATGATGAAAAATATAAGGTTGTATCATATTTTATGCATCTTTTTCTCATATTTTTCTGCGTTTTGACTGAAAGTCAACTCTTATTTCTTTATGCTTAGATTAAATATAATTTAACTAAATTCGAATTATTTTCTAGGAAATTGATGAAAGGTTATCAAAAGCGGAAGCGTTGTTGAAGAACCAAAATCTGGTTGGAATTGATATTGTCTCCAGAACAAAAAATAAAAATGTTGCGGTATTTCTTAAAACTTATATCATCTTCAGTTTGAAAAGTTGCTATTTAAAGAATCCGAAATCGGGCAGATTTAAATAATTTCGATGATAGATTTCTATATTTCTTTATAATGAAGTAAAAATTGCAGGCAGCAAATAATGGAAGTAAACCAGTAAGTATTAATAAACCTCCACCACCTCTGCCTCCAAAAAAGACGATTTCACAAGAAAACAGAATTAATTCATCAGCCTCGCATCCAGAAAATCAAAATGTTCTTTTTCGGGTAAAATCTTACTTCAACGTCGATATGCATTGCAAATTTTGCAAAATAATTGAAATTGTCTTTGAATGTTTTTCACAAGCCAGTTTATGTTAAGATGAGATTGGGGCAATGAAAATGAACCGCTGATCATTTATTTCGTTTAAAATCGAAAATTCAAGCAATTTTTAACATCAGTTACTTATGGGAAGCGTCCTTCAAATTCGCTTAGTATTTAATGTGTTGAACATCTGTTGAACATTTTTTTGACATTTCAGAATAAGTCGTTATCTCCAAGTAATTTTTCGAGGCCTTGTTCGGTTGCTATTATGCAGTTATCATGCGATAGTGTTAATGCTCGTCGACAAATAATCTGTCAGCTATGTTTAAAAGTTGTTTACTTAGCTGAGCGAATGCAGGTGGAGGGAATGTACATCCACAAAAAGTGCTTTCGTTGTGCCTTTTGTGAGCAGCCGTTACGCCTCGGCAATTGCGCCCAAGATCGAAATCTCCGGAATTTGAATCCTAGGTTCATCTCAGACCTATTTTTTATATTACATTCAATAGTTTTACTTGTTCTCTGGTTTGATATTTAGATTGTGGAATTTTGTGAATTTTGTGCAATAACTTTTTCACGAAGTTCTAAATTATATTTTTATATATGAAGTTATGAATTGCTTTAGCATGAAAGAGAGAAAATCATACTTATTGCCAGAATTTGGAAATAGTTGCTTTAAAATTGTTGCTTTTTTTTGATTTCGCTCGAAGATGCATTTCCAGATTTTTTTGTATGCAGCATATAAACATACCAGTTCTAGAAAAGATTGCACGGATAGAGAAAAATGGTTGCAAAGGAAGTGATACTGTAGGTAAAATTTTCTCTTGAGACTCAGTTATTTTTCAATTTATTTTCCAATACTGAGCACTATAACGCTCATTTCCAAAGAAAGCATATGTCATCATTTTCTCACAAAAAAATTTTTCAATTGTAGTATTTGCAGGGCCATCTTCATCAACACTGAATGATATGTTGAATACTATCAATGGATATAACACGTCACGTATAAATGTTAGTATGTGAAAATTATACATGTGCTTAACATATAAAAATGTAAAACCAGTAAGATAATTGCATTAGTTGAAATGGGTAAAAACTGGATTTTAATCAATCGTGAATTATCTTTAAACATGTAGGTCACTTCTGTTGGGCAATAAAATGCTGAGCAGAAAATTGGCATTACGTTTTTATTTTATAGTTCAAATTCCAGGAATCTACGGTAGCATCTACTGTGCAGCGAACTGGACGAAATTCACCGTCCATGCTCCTGGGCAAGACAATGGACAAAATGCGAGCCCAAAAAGAAGCAATTAGTGCATCTCTGTCATCACCACAGGGTCATATGACACGAGAGCGCACCGAATTTGAAATATACAGTCAAAAGGTTGGCTTATTAATTTGTAGATTAAATATTTGAATTTATTAAGCAAATAAAAAACCTGTATTTAGTTAGTCTTAAATTTTTGAAAATTGAGTTATGAATATTATATTAATATAAAATTATTTTTCTCATAACGGTGAGAAAAATAATTTTATATTAATAAATTCTTAACTATCTAAGGTACATTTTCAAAACTTCGCAGATATTATCATACTATAAGCTTAATTAGGCTGCTTAAATTTTGATTTTGATTTAGAAAATTACAAAAGAAAAAGCAGCTTTAACCAGCAGCAATGGAACTTGTTCAAATGGTGACGACAATTCCAGTAGCGAGGAATTATTAGGTAAGTTTTTGACTTGTGTTTTGCTTACTCGCTAACTGAAGTTTGGATATTAAACTCTAGTATTCTTTAGCGTAGGATTAATTATACAAATAAAGCAGCAGGGGGACAGTTCATACTGCCTCATTCTCGGTCTAACTTTAACGTTGTACATTTCATTTGGTCACATTCCATTCGCAATTGTATTCATTTAATTTTTAGAGGATGAGGATGAATATTTATCTCCTTGTAAAGATCATGAGGATGATGACATTGATGATAATGATAGTAACTTCATGGAAGATGAACTGATCGATTTGGAATCAGCCATACTGGAAAATTTCGACAGAAGTATAGATAGATCATTAACTGAAGCACGGGTATCTTTTTATAGTTGCGTCTCGCATTTGACGCTTGTGATTTCAAAAGTTCTTCCAGAAATTTTTTTAGGACAATCACAGATAATATTATATTGTAAAGAAAAGAATGAATTGATTTTTGGAAAACCGGTACATCATATGCTTCTGTAAAGCGCCAACTTTCAAAATGTATTAAATCTTATTTAGATGAATGATTCGTTTCTCTGATTGATGTGTAATGCTGTTGCAAACATCACTAATTTACTATGCTTATCTGCTTTCAAAGCTAATTAAGTTTCCGTTATTCTGCTTTTAGGCATTGGAACTTTTGAAAACACTTAAAGAACGTCGGCAACAAAAATTCTTGGAAGAACATCCAAATGTTCCGTTATTGGAAGAAAAATGCAAGAAGTCTAATGAAAATTTTGATGCAACTGTTACCAAAAGCAGAAGCGAAGTGACAGATGTCACGACTGTTGAGTCACCGAAATTAGTGACAGCGGTGAATTGAACATTTTTCTAAAAAGGATTATCACTATGTGCTCAGAGAAATAATACTTTATTATATTTTTGAAAAGAAGAATAGATTTTTTACTCAATAATTTGCGAGATATATCTTTTTCCTTCATTTGGTAATTTAAATTTTGATCTCAGATTTGTTCATCTGTGTGAATTTATTTAATAGGAAAATATGGATAGAAATTAGCGAAAATGGAAACTGTCTCAAATTAATAGATTTACAGGAAACTGGGAATATTTTTAGGAAGTATTGGCTCCATTCATGGAAATTAAAGAACAAAGTGACACAAAGATTATGTTAAAAACTGATGAATCAGGTAACGCATTTATTGGTACGCACTAGCCTTCTATTTAGTTATTCTTAGTTTTGCGCTGTTTTGCAATATTTTTGGGCAACTAAATAATGAAATTCAATGGTAAAGTATTCTTCCTACATTATCGACATATAGCGTTTGGAATTAATATTACTACATTTCTTTGATGCATGTTTCAGAATTATGCAGAACCAGTAAACGTCATTCGATACCCAAGCAGTCCTCGATAGTTGTATCACGTTTCCCTCGCCATCTTTCTCTGGATCTTAGTCAAAATAATATTGAAGTACTGATTCGCATTGGGTAAAATCAGTTTGTAATGCTGGGAACATCTTTTTTTGTGTCATCAGTATAAAACCCAACTTGTTCACTTGGAGGAAAAAAAGAGTTCTCCTGCTTGATTTTTATGCAGTTGTGGCTAAAAAAGTATTGAAAACAAATGAGGTGACTTACTGTGGCGGATGTAGTTTACATTTTGTTTGCTGGATTAAATTTTACACGCAGAATTGAGACGTTCTACATTTAATTTCAGAAGATTTATACAATGCCTTCAATGGATGGATCTAATTTTGCTCATTCTTCATCTCCAACGAATGATGTTTGTTCTCAGAAAATAGCTGTAGTTCATTCACAATCAACTACGCAGTCAAGTAAATTTTTTTCCGCTACTATTTACCCGTTTTATTGCAAACCAATTGTAATCGTAGTACAACAGTATTAGCTTTCACAATCAACTGCATGTTAAAGGTACTGTGGATTATAGATGGGAATGAAGAAAGTACTTGTGACAAAAGAAAAATGAACTTATTGAATGTAAGTACATTTCCAGATCTTGGTCTGCTAGCCCAATTGTTTAGTGCTGAGAGACTCAAGGCTGTGCAAACTACTAACAAGACAGATCGAGCAATCAATTTTTCTGCGAATTCGTATGATGAGGTAAGTAATAGTCAGCTGTACTAAATTCTGAACAGAATCTGCTACCAGTGAAATGAGTACTACATTTCATAAGTCATGCTTCAGAAATGTTAGTTTAAATTCTTGTGCTTGGTACGTTCTTCTAAAACAGTCAGTTATGGATCTTATAAAATTTAGGCTAAGGAAATTCTTAGTAAAATTGCTGAAAAAAAATTGCAGGATTCCAATTTATGTGGCACAAATGTCAAAAAGCAAGAAAATGGTGGCTTGTTACGTAAATTTCCAAGCTTCCGAACACTGCGAATGCAGAAAGGTAGTTCTGGTTTGAGTTATGAAGAGCAGAGCATTGTACTGTTTGAAATTGTGAAAACAATCTCACTTTTTGAACTGTTCGTTTTCTCACTTTGGGTTACTGTGTAGTATTTGATTTATTTTGAATGAAAACTTGAACTTACTCCTTTTTGCGTTTGAATTTAAGCGAAAGTTTCTCATTTTATGATTGTAGGAGAAAAGATGCTCCCTCGGTGTGCAAGCACTCCAGCCTCTCAAGCACTCAGTACTTCATCGGCGAAGAAACATTCAAATTTTTATCAAAGTACGGCTTCCTCTTCCCATTCTGCTGTTGACAATATTAACACTTATTCACCTGGTACACGTTTCCAACTTATTTTTAGAATTTTTATAATACTAACATTCGATTTCATGTACTTGTTGAAGGAATATTTATAACTCATATTTCTTTCTTGTGTTACATAATGAAAAGAATTGTTACCTTGCTTCAAAATTCTATGTACGGATGTTCTTGAAATAGTAGTCAATAATTAACATACACTCTTTTTTGATGTTCATATTTCTATGTCGTTATGTCAATTAGTGCTTCATATCACGATTATCCATTAAAGTTCAAAAATGTCACTGTTTTCCTTGTTTTTCATTTTTTAAGTTATAAAAATGCTACATTTCAGAAAACAAATTGTCACCTACGTTGTTTACAAGAAAAGATATCCGCCGTGTCCAGGTAACTTTCTGAAATTATATTTCAAATTGTAATATTGATCAAAACTTTCTGTAAGACCTGAGCATCAGATAGGTTAAGTGAAGTGATTGATATATGATCTTATTTTAGATGTGATTTAGTGATAATTTACAAAGAAAGGATTCGTTATCTTTTTGCCCTGATTATCCAAATGATTTTGTCAATTTTCTCATTAGTTTGCTTGAATTTGCAGAAACTAGCTGAAAGAATCTTGAGACAAAAAGAACAAGAGCGCATTAATGCAGCACAGGATTTGCAACGTGAGTTGCAGGAAATTGATGTTCGAAAACTGGAAGTGGAAGCAGTGGCTGGGGATTTAGAAAGACGGCTATGTGATGGTATTTTCTTATACTGTTCTTCAAAGAAAATCCATATTTCCTGTGTATAAGCATTGTATAAGTTGAATCGAAATCTCGAGAAGAATGAAAACATTATAGTACGTTAATCTAATTATGATGTACTATATATAATTTGAAGTTAAATTATTTCTCGTCTATATAGATGCAGAAAATTTGTGGATACTGGAGCAGTGGTTGTTGTATGTACAGGAAATGGTACAATTGAAACAGCGTGAAGAAGAGCTGAAACTTCGAGTATCTGAGTTTGAAATGAACGAAGAATATAAAAGTCTTCAACTACAGCTCAAGGAAGTTCAGGACATTAACGGAGGAGTATTAATTGCTTCTGATAGTCAAGTAATCTATTTCCTTTTTTGCCACAAATTTATTTCTGGATTGCAAAGCTTTTGTTTTGATGTTGAGAGATGTCAGTGTCAAGGTTTACAAATATCAGTATCTGGATTAGCATGCCAGCTTTCAATAAGGCTTTTAAATTTTGTGACAGCTGTTCGCAACTCCAGTTGCTTCATCTACTTTAGTTTTTTGCATAGGCTGAGAAATCGATACTGAAGAAGACAGTGGCAATTTTAGAAATGCGTGATGCCATACAGAAGCAGTTGAAAGTAGTCAGAGAAAGGTATTTAATTTTTCATTGCTTTCAGTAATATTCTTTTTTTCATTAAAACCAGTGTCCGGAGGAAGAAATCATTTCTTATTTTTAGTCTGTCAAGTGCTAAACTCGAGCAGGAAAGCTTTGATAATCATTCCTTCTCCTCTTTTTATCTTCTTTGATCTCGTTATCTATTAAAGACGTGAGTGTAGTTTCGGAAATTTCATCCTGAATCGTTTTAGTATATAGAATTTTTCATTGTTTTAATTTTGTTTTAAATGCAGCTAATTTTTATAGTGCGCGTGTTTTAGGACTTGCCAACAAAAAGTAATGGAACCATCAACGCTGATCGGGTTGAAAGGAGCTTCTTATCACAATTTCAAACCGGTTTTCATTTAATTAATTGTTTTTAAGAGCGGAAAAGTCAATCAAACAAACTCTGGTTTCCAAAAAATTGTCAGCTTAGCACCAAGATTTGTGAATGCCTGTGCTTATATGTTAGCTTTTGCAATTTTTTTATAGTAATACTTGACTTTTCGGAACTCTTAAAAGTTTCCTTTGATTCATATCTCAGCTTTTTGTATTTATATATAAGCCGAGTGTTGAGTTTTAAAGACGTCCAGTATAGCTTAACTGTTTATACGAGTATTTAAAAACATGCTCAATTGTGATACGCAGAGCTTCCATTAATTGCAAACAAGATAACGGATGTGACTTATAGATTTTCGAAGCAATTTTTATTATTTGCAGAAATTATTGTGCAGTAATTAGTTTTGAATTTCAGTACTAGGCTCTCTTTTCTTGTTCACTTATCGAGTACCTATATTTTGAATCAGTGATTTAATTTTGTGCCAAACTGCAAAAACATTTTATAGTTTTGACTGTTTTCGAATTGTGCAGTTGCAAGTTTTGTATTCTACTGATACTGATCCCGAAGAAAACTCCAGATAAAGTTCCAAACTAGGAGGACTTGTTTTATATTTCCAGACATTGAGATCTTCTATTTGCTTATTGCGGTATTAGGGGATTTTCAAAGTAGCACTGAGAGAATAATTTCTGAGTTCTACGTGCGCTCATAGTTATTCCAACATAATGAAACAATTAAATTCTCTAGAAAGGTTTTTTAATCTTGGTTTAGATTGATGAATTTCATATGTGCAAAAAATTTTTGATTATTAAAACACATATTTCTGCAATCATACGTATTTCGTTTGTCCACATATCCTTGTGTCTTATTTTGCCATATGTAGTCTTTTGGTGTAAAGGTCAATAATTCTGCTCAAATATATTTATAAATGCTTTATTCCTTGTAAACAGTACTTCAATTTAACTTTTTCATAGTTTTGCTTCCTGTATTCACTATTGTTAGATTTGAAAAAATAGCACACCGTGATTTGTTCCTAAAACCTTGCAGTCCTAATTTCTTGGTCCGCATTGGACAAAGGACAAATTCAGGATTCATTTCAACAACCATTAATTTGGAAGGATGCAATTAACTTTTTGCTTTTCAGCTAGATTTCTGAATTCTTGCTGTTACAGTAGATTAATTAATTCTTAGGTTTTGCAGGGTTTTCATGAGGAAGTAATACCATTGAAATAAATTAGTTAAAGTGATAGCAGAATGAAGACGGTAATATTTCCTGCAAGCCTAACATTGGTTTCGATTCGAGCTTCACTTTTTTGATAATGTAGTTTTTATCACTCCGCTAGTTCTTTGCATGTTCCATGCAATTGCTATATTCTTCGAAATTTGAGGTATTTAGGTGTCTTGAAGTTAGGTTTGTTCTGGGATTAAAATCTTCAACAAATCAACAGCCATCAGACTACTGATCTGTTGAAGATTACTTACTTATTTTTGTGATGGTAATTGAAACAGTAAGTGGGATATGATTTTAAGGTTTTTGGCATTGGGATTTAGTCTAGATCTCCAATAATATTGGTCGAAGTGTGAGAGTGGATATGAAGTGTTTTAATTTTTACAGCTGTAGAATGCATCACGATGAAGTTGAATACACGAAACATTGACTACTATGTAAACCAAAAAAGATTACCGAAACTTCAAATTTTATGTGGTTAGGATTCCAATTTAGAATTGAATTGTGGGGGGTTTTAAACGATTTAAAATCTATATGGCTTAGCAGGGGTATGTTTCCCTCAAAAAATATAATACATTTGCTTAATTTTACCTTCTCTTCAGGGATTTATACTGCAAATTTGACATTTGGTTGTGGAAAACGTGATTTGGGTGGTGGATAAGTCACTAAATGTAGTAACAATGTTATTGCAAATATATTTTGTACCAGCTTTGACGATATACTCGTTTATAACTGTTGGATAATCTTGACATATTTTCGAGTAATATGAAATTATCATTTTAGAGTTGTCTGTTGTTCGGAACTATTTATTTACTGATTGCTAGAATGCATTTTTGATTAAACGAATTAAGAAGTATCTGGAAATTGAGGTACTAATGATTGAGGAAAAGAATTAAAGGAACGTTATTAAAAGGTCTTCAACAGTTTGGTGTATATAAACTTTTAAGCCCAGAAAAAGAATATTTAATTTAATCTGAGATTCAAATTTGTGTCCTTTTTCTTTATAATATTAGTTAATCATATCTATGATTAAACCAGTTTTTATCTAATGATTTATCATGAGCGGTAGCTATGAAGTTTCATTTTTCAACAGAGTTGTTTCAACTTTTCTTTCAGTGATCGGTACATTTGTGTTGTTGGTCCAATTTGGTTGTGTATTCAAAGTAAGAGGTACATGTATCAATAAAACGTGGGTGTGATTCAAATTAATTATAATGCTTTAGAGTAACAAATTTCGAAAATTTTCAGAATTTTCAAAAAAACTCCAAAAGAAACTGATTTTTAAAAAAAAAAATTCATTTTGAAATGATTTTTTAGTCCAGGGATTTTGAAGTAGAATTTGCAGAAAATGCATCAGAAATCAATTTATTTGGATACAGGCAAAGACACGGATATTCAAGTTGAACCGGTATCGTTTAGTATTAAATCGACGAGATTATCTTTCGAGATTATCTTTTCTTATCTTTCCTTCCTATTTATTCACTAATCCACTTCCTATTTTAATATTATGCCGCAATATATTACTCGTCGTTAATTTTAAAATATGACATGATATCAATAATTAAAGAAGCTTGAAATTGCAGGAAGCAGCAGATCAGGTTAAAGTTGAGGAAGATATGAACCGAGACTTAATTAAATTAGTAGAACGAACGCAAAATAGTGACAAAAGTTTAATCAATAAAAGAAAAGGTTTCTCTCCCATGAAAAAAATAATTTAACCTTTGAACTATATCTTATTGATTTCTACAGATTTCTACATAAATTAGATTCATTTGTTCAAATCAGAGAAAAAATCTGAGTTCAAATGAGTTAGAGTTAAAAAAAAAAGATATCGTTTAAAATTCCCCTTGAAAAACTACCGTTATCCACTTTTTTAACCAGTCAATTAAGTATCATTTCATTATTCACTACGACAATAAATGCTAAAGAGTTGCGAAATATTTGGACGTATTCTCTTTTAACTCATTGATTTCCATTTGAATTTTCATTTACTTTTTTCAAATTCTTTTTTGAAGTGTTTATGAAAACGAAAAGTGAAGCAGCAAATGATAAGAAGAATGAGAAGAAACACAAAAAAGAAAAATTGCATTCGAATGGGAAGAATGATCATCAAATTTTAATCCAGAAAACTATAATACCTGAAATGGGACAGCATGTAGGAATTTTTATCTTATCTCTTTTTCACTTTCAATCAACAAATCCGAAATTCGTCGAATTTTTTTAAATTGACTTAAAAAGTGATGGGGAAATGTTGATTGAATCCGCCGTGTATGTTGCAGGAAACACAATCAACACAGGCGGATGACTTCAAAGATTCAAAAATAATTGATCAAGTAAAAATGCTTTAATAATAATGAGCTGCTCTGCTGAACTGGCCTAGTACTTCTCGCTTACCTACATTCAAACATAAAGTATTCAAATCGAATTTTAAGAAGTTTTTTGAAGACTAAAAAGAATTTCTCTGTTTTGCTTTTGCAGAAACTTTTCTTCCTAATTTTCTAAAATAGATACATAGCGGTGAGCAATGTCGAAAGCGTAAAAGTAATATCGATAAGCGTTATAAAGACAACAATTCGGAAGAAGCTCGTGAAGGTGTTGCGAAAAGCCAAAGTTTAGAAGAAGAGCCATCAACTCTGGAAGGTGTCGCATCAATTGCTCGTGACGATGCTCCATCAGCTGTCAGTCAATTACGCCACGGTACGGGAAGCGTTAAAATAAGTTTAATCCAAAAAAGACGCGCTCTAAACAAAACCAATCCAACTAAGCGAAGATTTGTTAAAAAATCATAGTTAATTGCAACTTGTAAATGCTGCATATTTTATATTTCTTAATAAATATTTACGAGTACTTTTTTGCTTTAGCAGAAGAAGATCGAACAGTAATGTGAGAATGCTAACTATAATCATCACTAACTACTAATAAGCTTGCTGTTACTCTATATCAAGGTACTACTACACATAAATTTTCAACCATGCTTTAATCGGTCGATTGAAATCTATTTGCACTACTAGGATTGATTGTGCTTATCACGTGGATGATTGATAGACGGTCGGTTAGGAATTGAGATCGAAATGGCATTCGATTAATTCCTTTTGAAGTTTTATCACTTTATCGTCAAGCATGTGGTATGTGCGTAACCATAGGCATGAATGAATAAAAGAAGATTTATGAATGTGGAAGATTTAAATTTTATAATTAGTTTTGGCAACACTACAAACTCAATTCTACGACATGCTATTTCGAAGTGACTATGATCGTACTATCGTTATCAATGAGTCATTTTTCTACAAAATTACTTCAATTGGATGCTAACTCTAATATTACTATACTTCGCTAATTACAATTAGTTGAAAATCATATCAAAAAGTGTACAGAATTCAAAAATATTATTTCAATCCATTAGGCAAATTTTTGTTCGTTTATAAAAACTATTTCATGAATCAAATTCATTTTAATCATTCTTTTCTCCGTATCGAGTTACTACCGCTTATTGTTTAGGTGTCATTTGGATCCTTCTACTCGAGGTACCTTCTCGATATGCTATTATCACTATTTAGCTTTCTTGTCTTTGAAATAATCGAATTGTACTTAATTTTTGAAATTTTGTGGAAGAGTGTTTTGAGTTTGGATGCTGCGTATACCATGTATCCTATGTATCCTATAATACATATTTTGATGAATCTTTCTCAATCTACAATGAATCATGGAAATAGTAAAAAGATTCAAACATTTTCGAAAATTTTAGCAATTGGAAAATTAGGTGATGTCTCGATTTTTGCCACCAGTAATAAGAAGTCATTCATGTTGTGTTGATAGTCACAATTTACGCCTCACCACAGAACCTGATGGAAGGTAAATAAAAAGAAAATATTAACGAGTAATTTGAATCATTGATTCTTGAAATTTACAAGTAAGTAATTTACTGCTGATTAAATTTAAGGCAACTATATACATATACAGTAACATGGCATGATTTGCAACAATCCGAGCAATCAAATTCTGTGAGTAACATGGAGCTAAGAACTGCATCTCCTCAATTTTCATTTATGAGTGGTATGAGATCAGTGATTGTTATTTTCAATCCAATATCTAATCTAATCTTATTTCTTCCTATCATTCTGTTCTTGATCAGAATAGTAAAATTGGAAAGGTATAATGATGCCGGATTTTAACGTATCCGGAAAATGGATGTTTAGTAAAAGTTACGTTTTTTTCTCTAGACTGGTGTCTTTAGCTATTAAGCAACTGACTTCTTTGGTTTCCATCTTATAATTTCTAAATCCTACAGGTTTTGATATCGGCTTTCTTGCTATTAAATAATTTAGATACAGCTAAAGTGATATGGTATTGCAAACCAATTGCATTTATCTTGCAGATTAGTGATAAATCTTTAGTTGTCACGATTTTCTTAAGCTATCAGAATTCTCACAATCAATTGATATTAAATATTTCAGCGTCTCCAAGGCAAGATACATTCTCAGCAGGCATACGCGTTGAGCCAAGTAATGCCTCTAGGTTGCAAATTCAGGAGTGCTATTGTGATGGACCATGCGGAAAAATTAAGGTTAACTTTAGCGTCAATAAAAGAGCTACTGTAAAGACATTTTTTGTTGGAGTATTTATTAACTTATACCAATCATATTCAGAGCGATAATTTACAGCTAATACAAAATGTATCTAATATAAAATACAGTTAAAGGGAATCTACGTAAGTGAACTGATCCAAAAGGATGCGATATTAATTTTTAAAATTTTAGACAGTATCGGAATATTTTTTGCAGCCAGTGAGTGAAATGCGCATTATGGGCTTATGCGATCATTACATTTGTCGAGATTGTTTCGAAAAAGCACCAGCTGTCAGAACCGGTTTGCTTACTTTTTTGTTGCATTTACGACAATCGTGCTGTTTGCATGTCATTTGTAATCACGAAACAATTCCAAACTTTTATTCAGCTGGTAGTTTTGGTTGTCCAAATGTGTGCTGTTATGAAACGGATCTAGCATTTTTGTGTAGAAGTGATCATCGACGTCGTCGCAAAATTCAAGACATTGTCGCCATGCCTCTGCATAGGACAATCTCAACGAATAAAGTAATAATGGAAATTTCGTTTATATTACATGAATAAAAAAGAGATCGTATCATGAATGTACCATGAATGGTAACATAGGTCCTGCTTGAGCATATTTCCTGAGCTCATTCTCATTTTTAAATGATTATGTCGGGCATTTATATAATTATCTTTTCAATTTAAATTTAAGATCATTTATCTTCTCATTTGATAAGAAATTCTTTTGAGAGTGATCAAGGTATAGTGCCAGTGGTAGTAAAAAGTAGGCCATGCCTTTATTTGGTGAACGTTCGCTTGACAACTTTCACACCGTTACAAAATTCTGACAAAGTATGTCGTCAGCAGCAAATTATGGAAGTATACAGCGATTACACAATGTTGCAAACTTTAAATACACTAAAGGAACACGAACGGTTCAACAGGTTAATTAACCTATCTTAACATCCATCCTTGACAAATATAAATATGCAAAATGATGCCAATCCTTACTATTATTTCTTGCTCGCATGAATAAGTAAAAGTAATGAATAACTACTTTCAGATCCTTATTTTTCCTTTCTGACTTCAAGTAAGCTATGCAATCTTCATCCTTTCTAAAGCAATAATCATTTATCCATTGAATTTCAATCTTTTTAATGTATTACCTTCATTATTACCCACCTTTACAAAATACTTCATTGAATTATCTTTTTACTGCTTTACAAACTTGAGAGCTTTCGCTAATTGCTGTTATATTCAATTAAATATTTAAATCCCGAGATCCACCAAATGAAAATCTAATCGTGTCTTAATTTATTTGAATTCTTTATCTTCTCTGATAATCCTATCTCATCATTTTGTTACTCAGTTCGGATATCGCAAATCGTGTATATTACTGCCCAAGTGGTCTCATCGATGAACGTTCATCCTGGAAACAGATTATGGAAAATGATCTATTGATACCAATTACAAAATTTGGTCAGGAAGATCAATGCATTGATATCATTTTCGATTCTACCATTCGTTAATCATTATCAACAATATGCTGATATGAAAATAATCAATTATATTTGCTTATCCTCCATGTACTTGAACTTTTTTTATTTTCGACAGCATTGAAAAATGTATTGAATTATTAGAAATATATTTTTGCAAATAAAAATTCGCACTAATCTTTTCATCAGTTTAAAGTAAATTTGCTGAAATGACAAACTTAAGCAAATTTCTAAGACGGTCGAGTCGTATCGTTAGTCATTTTATTTTATGGCAGCGATCTCTCATTCAATAAATTTTGAAATTGCAATGTACTATATATAACAGCAGTAATATAATCAGCCCAAATCAAATTGTTTACATTTCACTTACTGAAACTATTTATTAATTAGATGAAGCTAATTCTAATATGTGCTAATGAGTGTAAAGTAAGGTTGAGACCTTACTTTTAAGAAATGTTACTCAAAAAAAAAAAACAAACAATATTCCATTAAGACTGCTCACGAATAGAATTAGCAAACTTGTGCCATAAAATGATCCTATGAGAAATAATTAAATAATCTAATTTTAGTTCCACAGCATCGAAGAAACGTCTGCATGTATCATAATGAACTTTGTAACTTCTCAATAAAGCTCTAGAAAATTGAATTGTAAAACACAGTTAGGAAAAGAAAGTAATTCTTCTTTGATTATTGATTGGTGAGAATAAACAGTATGATTGGCTCAAGTGATGTATAGAAAGAATAAAGATACAGTGGAATTGTTAAATTGTTAACAACGTCTGATAAGTTTAATGCTTCCGGCTTATATTTTAAGGTTCATAACTGCTACACTGAAAACAATGAACTTTCAACAAAATGATCGATAATATTAATACAGTATCTTTTCTAACATCAACATAGACACTACTCGGTTGTCAGTTAAATGAATTATAGGTTTTTAAATGGATTATTGTAGAAAATAACAACGTATACTTCGTAGGCCACCCAAATATTTCGACGTTTTTTCATGAAATCAAATGAAATGTTGTATAAAATGAGAAAGTTCTCCCGCTCCAGAATGGTGAAATCGATTGTTTGATGTAATCCGAATTTGAAAAAATTAAACCTCATAAATATGAATGATTTAAGTCAATACAATTATTATTAATTCATGAGATGAAGAGATTTTCAAACAAATTAAGAAAAACATGAAGTTGCTATCTTCATCAGTGATCCTTAACAATATCAAAATAGAGAATAAACTATCGTAAGCAATGAAGTGTCATATGAATACTTCCTCCCAAAATTACAAATCCAATATATGAAATAGGAAAAAAAACAATACCGTTTGTTTGATGATGTTATTTTATCTATCTGTCACACTGAGAATGATCGAATCAAACTCCGTAGATCATACCCTCATCCTTCATTAGATATTATGTAGATTAATAAATATTTCGACTAGCTAAAACTGTATATTAGATCTGATAATTTGCGGAACATCCCTTCTTTATATTAATGTATATATTAATGTTCTATTTAAAAACCGGCTAAGGCAGTGGCATGACATCACTAATGATCTAAGTTTCAAAAACAAAAAAAACGTGAAGAAAGAAACCTAAATTTTTTTTGCTTTTTCAGAATCAAACGTTTGAATCTATTGAAAATTCATGTTTCAAGTGAATTTAATAGTGCAGGTGTTAACGTCCATTAATGATTTAAGTCGCATTTCAACAGTATTAGGCGATAGATTCCATGTTCTGAAATTTTATTCCAAATTTGAATTATTTTCGACAAATTCGGATTTTAGAGGTAGTTTCATAAAATTGTCAACCTTACAAAATCAACCAGTTAGAAAATCTGCCAGAACTCGCTCAAAAATAGAAATACACATCTTACCATTGAGAGATATCCCAACACAAACAAGCGCTTTGTTGAGAGAACTTATATCAATCATTGAACCGCTCAAAATTAAAAAATAAATTATACCAGCTAAAAACGATTTTTATACATCCGAGACTATCGACCAAGCTGGATAAAAATTGCTCTTTCTATCCACATATGATTAATTCCCAACGACTAGATTCTCTCAAAAAAGCAAGATTTTATCAACATTTTCAAAACAGTATCAAAAATCAAAAACTGTAAGATTTCTTTGGAGTACCAAACTTAACAATAACAACAATAAAAGTGATAATCAGCAACAAAATATACAAATGAAAATCCACATCTCGGTTAGGTCTGTTGAGCTTAACAGCAGAACAGCACGACCAAAATGCTGAAAATGCTTCAAAAGACAGTTTACTGACCACTCCACTTAGCAAATTCATTAATGATTTATTTTCTTATAACCAGTTAATTCGATAAATTAGGATTCCTTAATTTCGATTATAAAATGATATATACTCATATGGGTGTGTAATCAGCTCAGTAATGCTTCCATATGTAAACTAAAGAGCGTGAAAGAGATCATTTTTTCATTATTTTAATATCAATAAAAACATAGAACTTGGAGATATCATCTTTGAAAAAAATGTATCAGCGAAATATTTCTCTTCCTATGAATCTAAACCAAAAGAAACAAAACTTTAGGTTCACTTATCATTGGACTCTATAAGAACATAATTTTAACCTTCCGTAGCAATTCAGTTCCACCGTTTCTAATTCAAGTGATTTTGACTTTCAAATCCATCTGATGGAAACCAATATCATACTGGTTTTCTTTCTCCAATATGCATCAAAATATAAAAAGAATCCATAATCAGCACACAATTAGTGATACCTGAAGACCCCAATTTTCCAGTTTTTGATCATTTGTTTGAAGCATACTTTTCAATTCGAACACATTTGAAGACTGGATGTCTGACCATCTCACGCTGAATTAAAACTCGTTGAAAGTGTTTCGTTTCTGCCGAAGAAATCTTTTTCGATTTTCTAGCCAGTGAATTAAAAAGATCTAAACAATAGGAAACTAATAGTTCCGCATCTTATGATTACAATTTTTAGTGATAGACATTGTTCCAGGTGGAACTACACTTCTAGAAACAAATCATGTGAAATTGGGCAAAAAAGTACCTGACCGCCTCTCCTCCCTTTCCCATCTTCTTCAACTTAAATGTTATCAATTTAACACAAAAAACTGTAAGGATAATAAATTTCACTTAATGTGCTAAATTAATTTAAAATTTTATAAAGTCTAATTTCAAATGGGAGAAATATCAATCTCTCTCTGCTACTCAAATGGAAAGCATTTTTCTGCTAAGTACAACGAATGAAAACAAAAAGTGCATGATAAGGGGTAAAGCAGATGAGCAAACATGCTGTCATGATGCTTTAAAAAGTCTTTCAGCTTTTAAGGTAGCTGTCCTGCAAAATTAGGTTTGTCTAGGTATTACTAAAATAAACTGCAATTTAAGTTTTAAGTAGCGAAGCATTCAAATTCAATTTTTGTGATTCAATTTATTATCGAAATTTTTAAAGAATCAAATTTATGGCAAAATGAAGGGAGTTACTGTATCTAACTGTAAAGAAATGCAAAAATGTGAATATCGAATAAAAGTTCAAGAAAACGACAACACAAACAATAATAGCATAAACAGAATTCAACAATATATTTCAACGTTGATAAAAAAGAAAACAGCCAGAAATAACGATTTAACTAGAAAAAATGCAGAGTTTTTAGAAAAATCCATGCTAAACATGATTTTCAATAGTCCTTTTCTGCATATAGATATCGACATCGAAAGCAGCGCAGAACATGCTTTTTCACACTTTTTTCAAATCCAAGATAAACAATCCTTTTTCAAGCGGATTTGATGATGTTACAAAACTCATTAAAATTTAAACATATTTAAAACCACTGTCCATGTCTAGCAAAAAAAGTTAAAATCGTGAAATTTACCAATCTATCCCAGATATTTCATAATAAAATGTAAAATTTTGTCAAAGAAAAGAAAATATTTCATTAGATTAGATGTAGAATGACTAATTATAATTCAGTACAAATAACTCATAACTTTTTCTTTAAATAAGAAGTGATGAGGAAACATTCGGAAAAATAATCAAGAACCTTGTTTCCGTTTCAGTGAATTTGTTTTCTCTGGAATACGGTATGGAAAACCATGGCTTTAAATCTGGAATAATTTTGAAAAAAGTGAAGATTCAATTTGCCCCATTCTCAGTAGTATAAACCTATCACTTGCTGCTGAAGCTGGCAAGATACTCCAAAGGTACCGAAAGGACATTGCGCGAAGTAGTACTGGCTGCAGAACGTGATTTCATTGAACTCTGGAAAACCAGTTTACAGTTGAAGAAACGAGCTTTGAACAAATGAATTCTTAATATCTTCAGGCTTGCGTGGCTATCTTCTTAGGGCAGAGATGAAGGCCGCAGGAAAAAAACCAGAAACTTATTTGAATTCCGGTTTTTAACAAGTTACAATTTCTACTAACTTGAGAAAGAACCCTGAAAATATCTTTATCCCCCCTCAGATCTGCACAGAATCCTTCTGTTATCTGCCGCTTAACGGAAATGAAAACTATTTTGAAACTTGAAAGCCTGCATTTCTTCAAAGAATGAAAATTAACCTGTATCGATCCACCACCAATGATGAAACCATCACTTGAATTATTCTCACGCGGATCATTCTAAAACTATAGGTTTTGTATCAAGCTTAAAAGAAGCAAAAACTAGTAACAAATATACTCAAACAAGTTTTTTGCAAACGAATATTTTACTTGAAGAACGAATAAAAATAAGGCCGTTAAGCGCTAAATCAATGCTTGAAATAATAGATCAATATCTTAACGAACACACAAAATGGACATCATAACGGCAAATTTTTTTGGCCTTGAAACATACTACCCATCGTATTTTCTCAAAACTTTAAATATAACATATTCAATTCCACCCTGTAGCTTTGATTATTGCTAACAATTAAAGGCAAGAACGATAACACGAAAAAACTATTCATCAGAAAAATATTTAGAATGTTTATTGAGCTTTACTTTCAGTGGTGCTGGTACGCTTGGGACAATGCTTGGTCCTGCCAGTTCTTCAGATTGCATTTCCATACTTTGATTTTCACTTGATATCTACAATTATTAAGGACCAAAAATGTTACAGAAAAAAGATTATAGTTAAATTTATCCTGATTTTTGCAATAATACATTCAAAACGATGCACCGAGTTACCAACATGAAAATGTAATAGTCAAACAGAAGACTTCCTAGCGAATCAATTTTGCAAATGTGTCTCTCTCTCTCAGTTGTCATTTGTAATAAGTATAGAAAAATATACCTTACTCGTTTTTCCTTTATACGGCAAGACCCCGTCACGTAACTGGAAAATACTATTATAAGAACAAATAGAATTTTATACATAATATCACTGTTTCACCAATTACCTGACTGCGAAGAAAACATGGAATAGTAAACAAGTACCATTTCTCTTAATTGCATGTAAATTACGCCCAGAACATTTCGACCAAGACCAAACTTCGGGATTGAGAGAACTGTCTCATTAGTTAACGGGAATTCCATCGGAATCTGGAAGAGGAAATTCAGAAAAATGGGTTACTTATGACATGCATTTGAATCAAAAAATATAATTAGTCATCAAAAAGTTATCGAGAAAATTTCAGCACAAAATTGATCATCGATATACATTATTACTAAAAATTATTCAAGCAACAAAATTTTAGTTACTTTGATCATGACTTTGTTGTTTTGCATGCTTTTTGCCCAATCCTGTATATAGTTGTGACTACAAGCACTTGCATAAAAGTCGTCGCCACCGAAACAGTGTACCAGCAATTTGTCGCCAGATTCCATTAATTCTTTCCGAAGCTCTTCACACTGTTCAACTTTTGCTAACAAAGCACGCTAAATAAAACTTCCGCTAACTACAAATATTTAAAAACTTTAATCTTTCGTTTGTTGCTATCTACCATCTTCATTAGCTAAAATGATGAGGTAAAAAAGATTTCAAAATATATCCCCAGTCAACCAACAACTAGTATGCAAGAAAACTGTGATGTTTTAGGAATTACGACATATTCACTTATTATTCATTCCTCAAGTGTTGTGTAATGTAGCCATATATTATCACGACCATTCAAGTAACACAGTTCAAACATTTAATGAGGCAAAACTTAGCTACAGATTATTTTGCTGGGCATTTAATTGTAAATCACATTGAATTTCCACAGTTTTGAAGTTGAGATTATGTAAAGATGTCGAACGGAAAGAAAACAAAGAAGTTCAAAAGTCTTATTAAAAACAAAATTCGATAAATCATTCGACAACTCCAAACACATACCTGCATTGCTTCAAGACCAGGACCTTTCCGCCACTCTTCCGCTGCACTTCTACTAACCTGCAAATGTTTCCTTTTTGATATATGAGAAACTTCCAACTTTATTTTCTCCAGTAACCAAAACCTGCTTACTCATTTCATTTTCAATATTGTATGTAAAGCTTACAGTAATGATCCACATAAATTCATGGCTTACTTTATTGATTTTCAAGATATTTCGAGCAAGTGTATTATAGTCTTTGGGTGTCGATTTCGATGAACCATCAACTTCAGCACATTCTGTCATCAACAACGACGTAACACCACATAGGGCTTCAGTTTTGGCAAGTTGATAAAAATGGTTCACATTGTCATATACTCGACCATCGATTTCCAGCGGAAACTGTAAACGTAACAAATAAAAATCTAAACGTTCAATTCTCAGATAAATTAATGAAATCTGTAAGCTACAACAGTAAATACATATACTGTAAAGCATAAGAGTTATTCACGATCAGTAGCTACTCTAAACTTATTACTAAATTTGTCGACAATGAAAAAATAGAATTGAAAGTTACGCTCTGACTTAACGAAACTTTTGAAACTGAGTAAAAAAAGATCATGAAAACAAACATCATGTTGAGCTGTGAAGACATTCTGAAAGCCTGAGAAGCATATTATGTTGTCGGGAGCAACTGCATATTCTTTATATTTGGCTGCTTCAGGCAATTTCTTGAACTAAAAAATGAAAACAATTAGACATTGTGATACAGCCAACTACACTTCCCACAACATTCTCTACAAAATCAAGTAAATCGTGTGAAGACTAACTGCCAAATAACTATTAGAAAAATATATGGTAAACACTTGGTTAAGTTTAAATCAGTAATTTTCCAAAGAAAACCATTAACAAGATCTAACTTCAAACGGTCTCCTTTGTACAAATCCTCGCTTCATAATACGTCCGTACATAAACCGCGGTGCTCCACGAGGCATCCGCATTGGTCCATAACCAAAACGACCTCCTCGAAAACCCATTGGTCCAGGCAAATTTCTCAGCAAGCGACCACCACCACGACTCTCGTAACGTGGCCAAGCTAAATTAACGAGAAATAAAAAAAAAAAAGTAAGATAAATTGATTTAAACGCTGTTCTGTCATTATCCAATATAAATTATGAAAACATGTAGAGAAAACGATTAAAACTACGTGAAAGGCTTGAAATAAAAAGCCAATTCAATAAAAATTCACAGCTATAGTATGTACAAACTGATTCAATATATCTCGTTTACTTTCTAGGAAACATGAAAAGCAAAACTCAAATATTCTCTATTAATTACTAGTGATTAAGAAATTTTATTTGTAAATTTTGATGCAAACATCTGCAAATTTGCTAAGATTGAATATCATTTTTCTGTGTGATGCGCTGTTACCTTCCCTTACTTGTTCCATTATAGTTAGAGAGAATATAAAAAATACTCCGCCATTAAATGAGTGAAATGAGCCAAACTTACAGTGGTAGGATGATGCAACAGGCTGTATGAATTCACCCTGAAATTAAATTAGTTGGATGGATTATTCCATCGCAAGAATTGAACTATTTCGAAAATTAGGATGAAAGTTCTTGAAAATTACAAAACCAAAACCAATTTATGAAAACATAAATCAGTGAAGCACCATAAAAACCGCTGTAAATGACAACCGTGAGAGCTCTTCAGTTGACTGAGACCATTATACAAGGTTTTCCGTACGACCAACTTTCCAGTAGTCTCAATAAAACTTACATGTATAAACTTCAGCGTAGATTAAACCTTTCATTATGTAAAAAGAAAAACTCTCCACTGGAACGATAGATGAACTTTGTCTTCTCATTATCGTGGTATTCGTAATCCTCTTCTCTTCTAGCTATGTCTTCCTGTTCTCAAACCTCAAATTTCAAAACCTAATTCTTCAATTTCATTTCTTACGAAAACAAAAGTTAGATAATTGACAATGTATACTTTGACATGGAACAAGACAGATGTAGATAAGACTTTAGCGCCATAAAATTATTGGTGTACAGTTATAACGAATCAGAATAAGTTGTGTTCAGCAGAAATTACTACATGACACTAATCTATTGAGTAAGCTCCATGCAATGTAAGCGATATAAGGTGATTCAATATTATGCAATGTAAGCATCTAAGGTGATTCAACGTCGAAATACTATTCCAATTTTCATATCATTTAAAGAACCCTTTAATAAAATACTAATTTTGACTTATCTTACTATCAAAACAAAGATTAATAATGGCAATCCTGAAGTGAAATTGGTAATAGTGAATAGGACGAAACCAGCAATGGTGATGAAGCTGATGATAAGGGATCTAGAATGTGATTAATACTACTGATTTCGGAATGAGATTAATATGACCTAACAACAGCTGACAATAGTTCAAAGAAGTGTTGCAAGCATTGACATTGGCCAATGTCTTAATATTATATTATTAGAAAATGTACTTTCAACATTAACGTGTTTGCATGATGTGCGACACTGCTTACGTACCAAATAACTACAGCACCTGTCAAAAAGAAACAAATTTTTTATGCTCTTTGCGACCTAATCTTCAATCGTTGGAGAATTCATCTTTGGTGCATAATCTATTTATTGCAATACAAATGATCCCTTATTTAGGAATATTGCACGCTTTATGTCTGCTTTTTGACCTTGTCAAGCTATTTACTGTGCACGCGCATTCGCATCGGATTGATGCATGTCTGCATGCACGCATGAAGCCTCACCTACTCAGCGCGTTATCACACGAAACAACGACACCCTACCGATTCCATTCACCGTGCACGTCACGGAGCCGAAAATGCGTCCTTAATAATAGCGAATATCCAACGGCCGGGGCGAATAGTTCCGGAACTTGATGGACGGAAACAGGGACAGATGTGTAATTTAACGCTCGGCGTGTGGTATGTTGAAAGTGAGCAGGCCAGTATGTATTTATTGTTGTCCTACTGGAGTTTTAGACTAAAGTTTTTGGTGGTGGAGGTTTCCTGATTTTAATTATTCAGATGAGTTTCAGGTGTGTTACGATGAAATACCGCCATCGTTTTAAAGGTCGAAATGTTGGCCGTCGGATTGCAAAAGGGAAGAGGTCAAATTATAATTAAATTTTTACGATATAGTAGTGGATAGCATTATTGTACTATATTATTCAGTTCATCTACTGATCGTTGCTATGTTTGAGGAATATTCAGTTACTTTATTCCATTACTTACAGCATTAAAAGTATAAAATTAGTATAAACATTGCAGTAGCGAAAGTAATCCGTCGATAACTCGACATCGTGAAGCTGCACGAGCAACTCGTATTGCCGAGAAAGTACCGTTTATACCAGCAGATGAAAGTTATGGTGTCAAATTCAACGATGGGGATGTGATGTTGGAACAGATACCCTTGGTTGGTATTGATATGTTTAAGCAACTGCTCTCTATTTGAGCTTTATAATACCTGAAAGTTCTCAAATTTGGATATTGGTCGATTGAAAATGAATAAGATTTCAAATTGCCAAATAATTTGTTTTGTGAATTTAATATTTCCGTGAAATGTATACAAATTTAATGATGTTTGAGACATAATAATTGATAATTTAATTTTAGCATAAAATGCAAATTGAGGATGCTGAGGAAAATAAAAGTACTGGAAGCAACTTTTCGGACCTGTCTTCGGCGAAATCACAACTTTCACAATTCACATCATGCACAAATCCAACCTTCGATCCTGTTCACCGTATCTGGAGGTGTTCATATTTTATTCACAGTAACTGCAAGTTGAATTTTCACCGATTTTTTTCCGTAGATTCAGAAGATTCGATTTTTTCGGAAGTAATTATTTTCAAAAAGAGATTGTATTGGACCTTTAGCAAAGCTTTTTGGGCTATTTGGTTTGGAATAAAATATCTGTTTAGCTCTTTTTAAAATTATTATCTTAAGCTAGAAAGCTTTGCAAAGCTTTCTAGCTTTTTTCATAGTATACTAGCTTTAGTTTTAACTTTTTGAACTGAATATCGTCGTTAGTTTTAGACGAGATGATTAAACCATAACAATTTTCGATTAGATAAAAATAATCACTAGCATTTTGTCGTTCCGTCATTTTGTACTAGCATTAGGTGGTCCACTTGCAGATCAGGATCAGTATTGCAAAATGAAGTGCTTGCCGTGCTTGCGGCAACTGCAGAACTGATTAAAGATAATAATGGAACAGAAAGTGATGCTGAATATTTTGCCGAGCTTTTGACAGTTATCGAAGCAATGCCTGCGGTGGATGAATCGAAATTAGCTGCAGCTGCTTATTTGTTAGGTCTTGTCGCCAGAAAAATCGACAAAAGTGTGTCACGCAAATGCTTCTCTAGGGCACATCAGGTAGTTTCATGTTGGCTAAGGATTCGAGCTATACTATAGAGTCTTTGTTTCCGTTATATCGCAGAAGTTATTCTTATTGACTATTTATTAGTAGTCAATAATAAAAGTATAATTTATTGGCAGCGTAGACGCCAAGAAAATATCTTCTGACTAAAAAGTATTCTTCCACTTTTTTCGTAGTTTTTGTTTTTTAGAAGTTAAAACAATAATATTGTGCATAAATTGTACACCAAGATCAGTATATCATACATTCATCATTGTTTTGCAGTGCTATTAATGTAATGTTAGATAGTTTTTAGCAAAGTACGTAATACTTTCACTTTTATACTTATATACAGATTCTGGAAAATAAGCTTGATAGTACTCAGCTGGATGTTGCTCTAGCGAAACTTATCGTTACATTAGGAACGATTGTGCATCAACAACCTGCCAGCATTTGGCAGAACAGTAATATCAGGTCAATTCTTAGATTGGTTTTTATATATTTTGTTTTTTCCTCTTCCTTATTTTTGTCCCATATTAATGTTGTACAAATATTTTGTAGTAATAGTTTCGACAAAATATGGTTTGTGAATTTAATGTGATGGCCAAGTTGAAACACTACCTTCTTCCTTCTTCATATCACTCTTATTTACTAAAAAGATTTGACAACCAGTAAAACACCGGGTTTGTACCCTAGCAGAAAGAGAACTGATGAATATTAATTGGTATTAAATCCTATACAAGTTTTGCAATTTATTTGAAGGCTATTATTAGTGAAAATTGAATTGTTTGCGATCCATGACAAGTCTTTGGTTCGCGCCGCAGCTCGACGATTTCTACGCACCATCCTCAATGATCCTGTTATGATTACATCTAATGGTTACCATCGGGGCGCCAGTGTTGTTGGCGAAATATTAATCAAACAAATGGAGCAGAGTGCTGGTAATTTGCTTGCTTCGTTGTTTACAGCCGTTAAACATAAATTTTTTCGATTCTATGAATTCGTGATGAACAAAAATGGATCTTAACGGAATTAGTATTTTCTTAATTCATTGAAAACTATCCGTTGTTATAACTCCTACTAGATGCCTTGTTCATTTCTCTACTTTGAATTAATATGCTTTTGATTTATCCAAAACGAAAAATGCTATAATTTGTACTCCCGAAATTACTTTTACAATTACAGTGTTATTGACCATCGTAACTTTTTTTTTAATTGCAGCCAATGTAAACACTGACTTATTACTTCGGTTGTTATGTCTGGCAGAAAATGTTATGTATAAAATGCCATCTTTAATATTCAAAAAGTTTACGGAGGCGGCATTTGTATTGCTGTCTATTTCGGATTCTAATCTGAGATGCACAATTTTCCAATGTTTCCAAAAAATTCTGCGGCATCAGCCTGCTGACACAACTTTACCTTTCAATGCTAATGTTCTTCTGATTGATTTGTTGCGTAATTTCGCGTCGAGAACTATGGATGTCTCTGTTACATGTTTTTGGATGGAGGTTTGTTTACATAAATATGTAATTTCCTTCTAGATTGAATTTTAGAAATGGAACTGGATCAGTCAAGCTTTTCTTTTTTTCAATTTGGTGATTTCCTGCACAGTAAAGAACAAATATTTCCAGGCTCTCTGTGAATCGCATCTTTGTCTTGCTGCGAAAGATTTTGCGAAGTCACTGGCAACGCTGAGAGCTTCATTGAAACCGATTTTCCAAACATTCGATTTGGGAATAGATTCTGTTGCCCTGGTAGCACTTGATTTTTTAAATATCTTTAACTATTAAGTTTGATGTTTTTTAGCAATATCATAAGAATGGGCAACTAAAATGGCGGGCCCTTAACATACATTTAGTTTCGTTAGTGAATAATCTGGATCAATATAATATAGGAACCTTTCACTTTATTTCTTCTTTTTTGTTTGTTAGTTTTATTTGTCATCATTTAAGTATAAAGTCATGCGAAATTGTGGTTAAAAAGTTTCCTCAAGTTCGAGTACAGAGTTGAATCAGACTGAGACCAAGACAGCATTCCTTTTCTAATTTTGGAACAATTTTGAAATGAACATTGTCAACCGGTTCATTGTTTCAGTTTCCTTATTAGTTTTTTCATCCGCTAAAATTTAATGTTTTGTTATTTTAGATAACTTGCAAAGTAATTGGTCGCATAATTGAACATTGTGTGCAATCAAATGAGGAATTAGCAAGTTATTCTGTCGATCTATGTGATGAAGCTTTTAATCCACGAAGCACTGCAGTGTGGCGATATGTTCTTCGCGCTGAAACAAGGATATTCGAAATTTCTAAAAGTGCTATTAACCAAGAATCGTTTGCGCGTGCATTGAAAACTCTGGCGGGATTGCGCAACGATGATAATCGCTGTATTATACCTGACATTGACTTGGTAACGGCTTACATTTTGGCAAAATTGGTGAAACATTTAAATTTTGCGCCTAGACATTAATTAGCAACTTGATGTTTTCTAGATCTTTTGTATGAGGTCTGCAAAAGTTTTTTCAGGAGGAAATATATAGCCTTTTTCCCACGTTCCAATCTTCATCCTGTGGTTTGGTTTCATTTAGCTCAAACAATAGAGTTTAGACTGTTGGAGCAGCAGTACGACATATTGGTGCTGAGAACGTCTTGCGGGTGTTGCCGTTGGAGCTGGACCCTCAAAATGTGGCATTGGTAACACAGTTCGAAAGATCTTGGCTTATGCCTATCCTGCGCTTAAATATTTGCAACCAGTCAATTGCTCTTGCATTGCAGTTTTTTTTACCATTAGCACATCGACTTCGAAAGGAAGCGCCAAGTGATGTTATGCGGCAGAAAATTTTCATTACTATCAGTGTAAGTCAGCTACTCACTCGATTATTATATTTTCATAACTTCTGGAATTTAGAAGTTCATTCAGTTTCTTTAGATGATAACTTTGAGTCCTCTTTTAAAGTGATTGTCTTTTCTTAAACAAATCGTTTTTTCAGGACCAGTTGTGGGACTTATTACCGAGTTTATTGAGTTCAGCAACTGATTTCGAGAAGAATTTTCCTCACTTGGCGGAAATTTTGGGTAAAGTTTTACTTGAACAACGGGATCTGCGTCTGTCAGTATTATCTTCACTTCGTAGTGCACTTCGTTATGCGCTCCAGCCGGATGCGACAGAAGCAAGAAAGGTTTATAATAGCTTCTTACTGTTGTTCCTTAAGATTTTAGATTAGGCCAGATATATATGTTAATAATGTCTGCTCAAAGCTAAGTGGCGTGTCAGATGTTCTATAATAATTCAGGTTTCATTTTACTTTATTATTTTAGGATGTAATGCGATTTTTTGCATACAGTTTTCTGCGAAAGTTATTTACTTTGTACACCGTATCCAATATTACCATGGAATCTATGCAATGCATAAGTGGAAATAGTTTGAAAACCTTGCGATGCTCAGTTTTGGAAACTATTCGCATTTATGTGGACTTAACTCCAAATAATGTGATTGATAATTTCATAAATTTGGCTGTTGAAAAGACACAAATCAAGGAAATGGATTTGGACCAAAAAGTATATTTCGCTTCGCACTTTATAATTAAAAGAGTGGGGGTTAAATTATATCAAACTTTATTGTAATGGAATGTAATATTTTATCGATTTAATTCATAATTGTTTTGAAATCTATTATTCATTCTTCTAGATTAAAAAAAAGTTTCTTTTCCTTAAATTTTCATTGCAATCATATTTTTCTTTGCTAAAGATTCGAGTTTTGGATCTTATGGCAGTACTCGTGAAGAAAGCAAATGTGTCGGGATTGAGCAATGTGTTTTCGACAATTCATCCATGGTTTACAAGCAGCGAAGTGGCACTTCAGAAAAAAGCATTCCGAATTTTGGAAGAAATTATGAAACGAATGAATGATGAAGCTGTAGCGAACTTTTTTTCTTCATGCGCCGATGAAATAAATAATGTGCTTGATCAGGTAGATCGTTTAAATATCATGGTTATAGTAAACTTCATAGAGATGATGTTTGTTTAGAAATATGGTATTGCAGGATTTAGATAATATTGCGAAGAGTGCGCGAGCAGCGTTGATTGCTGTGTATTGTGTCAAATTGTCTTCATTGACTTCATTTGAACACGCAGAAATTTTTGGAAAAAAGTTTGTTCGAAGGATTATTGTCTGTCTCGATAAGTCACATAATATTCGAACACGTTCAAATGCACTGAAATGTTTCGTGAAAGTGTGTCAGCAACTAATACTTTTGGGTTCAGATGAGAGGTTAGTATACAGAAAGAAATATTTTTTGAATTATTTGAAGAATGTAAATTGAAATTTTTAAAAACCCCGAACTTGGTGACTTTTTTCTGAATATGTTATTAAAAGCCGCTGTTTAATTGTAGGGCGTGTTTTACCTCTATAGCAAACAAAATTTCTAATTTCTTTGGTTTTATAGAGTTGTTAATAAAGCATTTCAGCAAGAGTCCTTCGAGTGTAATTCATCCAGTATTGAATATAATTTTTGGTATGTTAAATCCAGAAGGTTTATANACCTCTATAGCAAACAAAATTTCTAATTTCTTTGGTTTTATAGAGTTGTTAATAAAGCATTTCAGCAAGAGTCCTTCGAGTGTAATTCATCCAGTATTGAATATAATTTTTGGTATGTTAAATCCAGAAGGTTTATATCCAAATGAAGATCCACTTGAAATCGTGCGGTAAGCCATGTTTTATGAGTGAAATTTTCTCAAATTTTTCATCACAAATTTGGTATTGGTCAGCATTAATTATATATAATACACCATTTTATTGAACATAGCATATATATTGTTTTCCAAGTTTCTATTTTGATTAATCGTGAAGTTTGAAAACTATATTAATTCTTTAATCATCTAGATCATCAACCATTGCTCTCAATGTCATAGCGCAGAAATTCACTCGCGTTTTGGATACTTCACTGCTGAGTCGCCTTATATCGCATGCATGCAACTGGATTGGTGATGAACGCCCAGTGATAAGAGTGCTGATTATCAGATTGTTACGAATGCTGGCAAAGAAATTACCAGACTATACAATGCAGCAATATCAGGTTAGGGAAAAATCATATATATGACGCGCCTTGACCATAATCTGGAAGTAAAAACGGTAACGCTTAGATTATTCATACTCGGAATAATCTAAGTATAAATTAAATTGCTTATTCGGTATAAATTGCTTATTGAATTCTAGGAATTGCTACTTTCGGCTGTGTTCGACGGTCAGTCGATGGCAAATATTACACAAAAAATCCGCAAAGCGAATAGGCTTCTACTTGAAGTTTTAGTCGACGCATATGGTGTTGAAGTTTTGATGACTCGAACAAATAAATTGGATTGGACTAAGCAACTAAAAGCAATTGCTAAAATAAGGTTTGTTTTTGAGGCATTTCCTACAAGATTATTGTTGAGCAAAATTTTTTTTAATTTCGAAATTATTTTTATAAAATGCTATTTTTAGTTTAATATATTCTACAGATGTTGGAAATTTTTGGATTATTCTATATTATAGACGTCGCCGTGGACATCGAAATGGAACGAAAGCACGAAATATAGATATCATTGGAGAGCAAGACCATGATGTGGTATCAGTAGCCTCAAGTGCTCGAACTGCGGGTGCAGATACAATACTAAATATGCTTTGTGATACTGACGATGTACGTTTTGTTCTACAACATTCAAATCTTTAATCAGGATGAAGTTTAAAATGACATAGTTTGCAAATCTGGGGAAAGAAAGTGAAGAACCTAACAGCAGAATTATAAACCAATTAGAGGTTGTTATTCGACTATATACTGTACTTGTTTATCTTTTTTCATTTTCAGGAAGATGAAGTAGAAATGGATCGTGAATCGATTGGAGGTCGAACACGAGGCAACTCGATTTGGTTAAAGAATGATGATGATGAAGATATGATGGACCTACTCGATCGAAACAAAATACTAGGAAAGATTGCCACAACTCGGCCTAATCTGTTGAAAGCTAAAAAGTGAGACTTCTGAGAAATGATTGTAATTATTCTGTTGATTTTTTTTATTGGTTACTTTTGCTTATTTTCTGATTATTCAATTGGTTTGTTTACGAATTTTCCTTTAATTTATTGATCATCTTTGGGATTGATCGAAGTTTTTGTGGTGTTTTAGATTGAAGAAATTGAATGATAATGATAATGACAAGTGCAGCAGTGGTTTCAAAATGGCGAAAGATGGACGATTAATAATTGAAAATTTGGATACAAATCAGCAGGACAAAAGGAAACGAAAGCAATTTGCAAAATTATTAGATATGCCGGACAAAAAGATGAAAAGGGACAGTGATTCGAACAGTGACAGTGATAGTGACTACGACAACAACAGCAGAGTTTGTTTTTTGTTTCATAAATTGTCATGCTTTTTCTCTACAGCGATATACATATTAATTTTGGGATTCAGAAAACATGGAAGTCATTTGATTTTTATAACAGGAATTTAATCTATAAATAGTTCTTACTAAAAATTTTATTTAGATCATAAATAAGAACAAGTCTGGTCGGAAAATTGGTGGGAAAAGTATTCATAGGAATGTTTGTAAAAGTTCCACTGGCATTACATTTGACAATGAATTTTCAAAGAGACGAGCTGCTGAAGATGTCAGGAAAAAGAGTGAAAAATATGAGCCATACGTATATATACCGATCAATAAACGTAAAAGAGGAAAGGTATGATTATTGTTTAGATCTTGGACACACTGTATATAAAAATTTTGTTTCATCAATGTACTGGCATGATTCCCAATTACGAGACCAATTTAAGTCTTAATAAAAAAACAGTATTTGGTATTTTTCTGTTATATATATACACCCTATTTATTTCCAGAACGAACTGAAGATGTTAATAAAAGGGAGAAAGAAAGGAGCTGCAGTTGCTTCGAAAGCAAAGAAAGTGCGTTGCTGAAGGCAATTAATTTATCATTAGCATAATGTCATTTTTACTGAAAATTTCAGTGACTAATGCTAATTTTAAGTAATGAAATGTAGATTGATATTACAACTTGTTGCAGTTCATATATTATTGCTTGAAATCAGAGCTAGGTTGGGAGTACCAAAAATTATGCAGGGAGATATTATTGTTGCTTATAAGTTGTTTTCTCTTTCTTTTTCTGTTACTTATGTTTTTGTATTGAAATAAAATGAATTTAAAAAATGAATGTTACATGAGTTTCGTGCAGTAAGCTGATAACTTATATAAATTATTCAAACCACTCAACTGAGTTTTCGTACCTTATTACCTGGATGTTATCGGAATTTTTTTATAAAACAGTTGAAAAGGATGATGAGCCCTTATTTCAGTGGCTATTTATTTTTCCATTGTAACAAAAATTTCCAGACGTTTTAATATTATGGTGGTATGCAGATTATTGCAGTGATAAAGCATCTTCTGATAATTCCATTGTAAACACTACTGGAGCTGTACAAGTTATCGATACTGTATCGCTAACTATTTCATTAGATGTGCTGATAAGTTTGCCAAACATAAGCTCCGAGTTATCTGAAAATTATTTAAGTTGAAGAATACAAAAATAAAGTGCAATTTATGAAAGGCAATAAATAAATATTAAAGAGATTTGAATAAAGCCTCTTTGTTCCAGAAAACCTTGATTCCAGATTTGCTATGGATCCTTCGTATCGAGATTTGATCGATAAAATCTGTATTAAAACACGCGATTATCAAGAAAGACCATAAAAAATTTCATTCCAGTACCTAAATTCCATTTCAAGCCACTAGACGATACGATCGTTTCACGCTGGATGAGAGGGATGACGCCACATTTTCCCGTTAAAAGATGCTTTCCTCCAGCGAATTCTAAGCTTGTGGAACCCTAAAATGAGCAAGTGGATGCTAGCAATCACATACAAATGAAATTATCTAAGAATGCAGTTACAAATTCAGTTTTTGTGCATGATTTATAGACTGAGAATAAAATTTATATACCTCGCGCAAAATCGTGACTAAATTAACACCGTCAATAATTGTAATTTCACAAGCATCGAACCGTAACATTGAATTCAGAGATGATAACACATGATCAAAACGTCCAGACAATCCGCCCAAAACAATAACTTTTGTGATCTTAAATTTGGTCATATGAGGTACTCAATATGATGTTCCTATCTGTGGCAGAAACAATTACTGCCACATTCTTTAACAGAATTATATTTCGAAAACTTCTTAAACGTTTCGAAATTTTTTCAACATACGTTTAATTCTTTATTTCTCATCCTCTCAGCAATAATTTGCAATGCTTTGCACATATCGGTGAAGTCTTGATCAGGTGTTTCCACAATTTCAACCTGTGATTCGAAGAATTTTTTTGTCGCAGAGGTAATAGAATCGAAATCGCCAGAAATCACGTTAGGCTTTAAATAATTTTCATTCCTGTAAGTTTCATCCAAATTTTTTCTACTAGTTGCAACCATAACAAAATCACATTAACAAAAACTTACTTAACAAGGGGCATAATGAAATTAGCCGCTCCATCGGTACAACCACGAAATATACTTTTGTTCCATAAATATTGCGCCAGTTTCGTTGATGATTGCTCAGGTTGCGAATTAACCCATAACACTCCAATTTCATCTGAAAATTAACTGTCACATTGATAGGAATGTTCCTATAGATTCGATAAAAAATATAGCCAGAATAAAGATGTCAAAATTAATTTTTATGTGAAGTAATTTCAATTTCTTAATCACTTCTCATTCAATTAATAATTAGCTTCTAAACAATCACTAGCAAAATAAGTGAGCCAAAGAAAATAATTTTTACCAAGATCACAATTGTTATTAGATGAAAGAAATTAGGATATATTATATAACTTCATATTTCTTTCACTGAAAATAGGAATGAATGCGAGGTATTAAATATTTGAAAAAATATTACGTATATAATTTTTTTAAGAATTTAAAGTAAAAATAATTCAATAAACCTTCTCTAAGTAATGGACTCAATAGTTGTATTCGTCGCATATCCAACAGCTGCAGAAATATATCACTGTATCAGCTGAAGAAAAATAATCTTATCGTATTTGCGAGATTTTTCTTTTCACAGATAAAATCGTTAATTTTATTGAGAATACGAGGATGAAATACGAAAATGAAACTTTTAATTACAAATAAAAATCGAATTTTAAACGCATTATGCAAATAGCATATAGTGAAAGAGGAATTATTTGGAATAGTGCCAGTGATGAATTTCTAGCCCGTATAAGTAAGTATCAAACTTTTGATTATTTTTTACGGTAATGAAAAAAGTTACTTACACTTTTTTTGTAAAGCGCATGAGCGCACTAGTCACACATCACCATCAATCACACATTACTCTTTATGAACGATGAAAATAGGGAAAGGATGCTTTTAGTAACAACGGTTCCTCTATTCATCACATGCATCTTAAATGTCTAATACGCTCGCAGAAAAATGTCAGCATATTANCACATCACCATCAATCACACATTACTCTTTATGAACGATGAAAATAGGGAAAGGATGCTTTTAGTAACAACGGTTCCTCTATTCATCACATGCATCTTAAATGTCTAATACGCTCGCAGAAAAATGTCAGCATATTAATTTGACCTTTAGAGGGGATAGAGAATCGCTAGTGATTGGATTGATCATTGATTGTTCATCAAATTATGATAATCATTAGAAAGACGTAATTTTTTTCTTTTATGAAGCTTTACTTTAAGACAATAATTAGTGATGTATGATAATGGCAAGTAGCATGATTGATGATATAACTAAAACAATGATTGATAAATTATAAAAGCTTTTTCCTCTTTCAATTTAATTTTAACATTTTAGTTAATGTTTGAAATTGCTTTCTCTATTGTTGCTTGGTATGCCTATAAAAAAGAAATGGCGTTTTTGGATCAAAAATCAATGCTTTTCTAAGTGTCAAATGCTTTCATCTTTCCAACAGAAGTTCATTGGAAATATTTGTGAGTTGGAAATTTGTTGAATAAAAAGTAAGACAAAAATATGTCTAATAAATCATGCGGTATTTAATTCCACTCTTTTAAACTTAATCTGCAGATGGCATCAAATTTCGGCCATACCTGCAACACTTCCAGCATTGTAGCACTGTCTATTGGTACGGTGTTGTTTCAATGCGCGTCGTCTGCTTGATTTGGAGGGTATATTTGAGGATTGCTTAGTCTGCTGCGACAGGGATTAGAGCGGTGGAGAGACGTGGGCGCTTGACGATATTTGTAATACCGTGACGTTATGTGAAATGTATGAAAAGATGAGCGAGATTTTAGATTGGGCAAATATACGAAGAAGTCCTTCACGACGATGGCTTTTGTGTTCACCCGTATTGTTCGTTATGTTATTTTCGCAATTGTACTGTACAGTGTGGTACAATACATGTTACGATGGAAGTCATATTCTATTTCACCAAAGGTTTTCCGACAAGCTTCTGCTGCAATACGCGGTATACCATCATTTCTTGAGTTTTTCGAAGTTTAAAAAAAAAGTTTCGTCGGCTTATGTATATTTTTTCCTCTTGTACTATAGTTGCTTTCATAAAATGAACATATGAGAAAGGATTTCAGATAGGTAGAGAGCCTGGATTAACCATCTGAAGTAGTGTATATTAAAAAGTGGACTATCCAATCTCAACATTTTTTGAACCAGTTCTCATGAAATGTTTACTAAGGCTGAAATTTCTTTAGTAAATCATGATGTTCCTGTGACAAAATTATTTCCCTATAATAGGAAGTAATGGAATGTCAAGTGTAAATAAATTACGAAATGATTTACGTCGTTCATATCCATTACAAATTATCGATAGTGACTGGGAAGCCGTTTATGGTGGTGGTTTGAATCTACAGGCGAACATTCTTTATGCATCCATTACCGAATTTATCATTGTTTTCCGTGCACCGTACCGAACAGGCGGTTTCGCTGGTAAGTCTTCTGACTTTTTTTTTTAATATTGGCTCAGACACATATATCTTGTGTGCATAAAGATGAAATTGAAGTAGGACATAAAAAAATGCATGATGATGGGGAGCACTATTGTTTTCCAAAAATCATAGATTTACACCAATAATATAAACGATATTTAAAGTATAAAAAAGGAACTATGAGAAAGAATAATCGAAATTGTTTGACAATGTTATTAAACTAACCGCTGTTACAACTTAAAGATGATTGTGTATCATGAATTGATAAAGAATAAACAAGCCTGAATAGCTTTTCACAGGTTGATAACGTCAAGGTATTTTATTCTGAGTGATTTTATCAATGTTTTCGGTTCAGTCATTAGATTTAATGACTGAACCAAAGACTACTTTGGCGATATTCTTTGGTTTTGAATGTGGTTTTTTTAGAATCGTCCACTGTTGCTCATCTCAATTCGTTCATCTCCCTCATATGAAAACTTTTCTTTTTTAGGTTGGCACTGGGTCAACAGCACATGTACTGTTTTGAATGGTGAAGTGGTGCGTACTGCTTATGGCGCCCATGGTGGCAATTTGGAGAAGTTTGAACCAAGTTGGTTGACATCACTTGATTTCATTATTAATAGAGTATCGGGATTTATATTAATTCTGCTTGCCATGTCTAATATATTTGTTCTAACAAATAAAAAGCTTCGTTTAAACGAAAGCTCAAATCATCATAAAACTTTCTAAGACATTGCTTTCAAACACGTCATTTCATCATTTAAATTGTGTTTATGACTAGCCTACAGCGTGTTTTTTTTTTGGCTTATGGAGATAATTCTTAGTTTTTGACGTAATTCATAACCATCACTGAACTGTTTGTAATAATCTAGGTCAGAACTTTCGTCATGGTGAATTTGAACGATATACATATGAATTTGCACCGGATTCATATATGGCATGCTATGGACGCGGTGCTGTACCTTTGAGTACTGTATGGATGGGGATGGGCTCTCTGGCGAATGGTGATCCGATTTCGTTTGCAAAGCTGCTCTACACCTATAGCAATGCTTGTGTTCATCAAATTAAACAGTCGTTGGTAAAAACATTCAATTATTATAAATCGAAAGCTCTAAAGACCGAATTGTAATTTTTCAATTCTAGTGCTTTCACTTCTCTTCCCAAAATCATTTGCTCAAGAAGTTATTCAGTCGCAATGGCTCTTCTTGTTCAGAACAATGCATGGCTTTTTCTTTTTATTCGGTAAAAAGCTGAATTTATTAGCGAAGCTGTCTTACATTCTATTAGCGAAGTTGTCTTACATTCTATCTATATAGTTTGTTTTCAAGCATCTGTTTTACAAATTCTTAGTATTGCTAACTCCTCCACTAATACCTCGTTGAGAAATATCTCATTGTGGATTGATATTTGATAGAATGCTTCGCTGTTTGTATTCTCCTACTTAATTACTTATTAATAGAAAAAATTACAAACGATTGTTTTTCTCAACAAAAGCTACATAGTTTGAATTTTTATTATTTACGTGCGACTGTTTTATTTCGAAAATCCTTTTTGATGCTGATATATGGTGTCACACTAAGATTAGTAAGAAAATGTTTCCTTGTTATGAATGATTCTAGTCGTGTAACTGATGTGTTGCATAACTGACAGTTCGAAAATTTCCAGAGTTTTAAAGACGGGCATCCCCCACGTTTCTAAGGATTCCTCACAGTATGTTCAGGATATTAAAATGTGGTAGAAAGTCGATTAAATTTAAAAAATTGTTTGGGTAGAAATGAGCGTGTCTGAATAATATAGGATAATTAATTATTTTGTGCTGTTTGTAACATTCATTTTACCTATTTCACCGCAGCAGTTTCGTAATGATTTGCTTTTTGAAAAATAAATGTTAGCTGAGTTTGCATTTGAACTTTGACTTCAGATAACCTTTCCAGCCAGCTTCGTCCCTTTCTACTATTCACTCCTATTCAACTTTACGTATTTCCTGATCTTGTGGATTTTCAAGAATATTTTATTTAAACTAAAATTCTTATAATCAAATTTAACTATGCCTGCATAACTTGTTAAAAACTGTCGAGGTTAGCGATGAGCAACAATGTTCCGGCCGCAAAAAGTTTGCTGCGAGAAATCTTCCAGTTTTTATAAGTACTGACTTCGGAGTGTTATAAAAATTTTATTTACAAATTTAAGCAAATCAGACATAAAATGGAAAAAAATTGACTGGGTTGTAGGGGCGGCTATACGAAATAGGGATTTTTCAATTGATAGACGCCGTTTTTCCCTACGTCATTAAAATGACTCAAGTCGTTTTACCAAGTACCATTTACATTTCAGTGTTCGAAAGGCGACTTCAGAACTATGTTCTCTCATCAGTATGTTACAGATTTTGAGGCAGTCAGGTTTGGAAAGCTTTAAGGAAATAAAGAGGAAGACGGAATTTTTTGTAAAAAAGGAATACTATTTATAATGAAAAGCTTTGATAGAATGGGTGGCTGAATCAACCACAAAGCACATTCCACTCCATCTAAGTGAAGAGGCAATAAAAACACCACAGGGACGTTTTAGGCGTGATCCATAGCTATCCATTGAAAACAAAAAATTGCCCTGAAATTTCAGAAATTTTTTACTGTTAAGAATATTTCGAGACACTACATCATAAATAAAGTCGTCGATGCAATGTCTCTGCACAGTTCTAGGTTTGAAAACTGCAAGGATGCTCAATCCTTATTTTTGAAGTTGTTTTAGAACTCGAGTCAGGTGAAACTAAACACCCAATTTATAAAATACCTCTTAAAGTGGAGTTACCTTATATTGGCAAACAACGAGGTAGGCGCGATTTTTCTTTGAATCCACAACGGCAGAAACAATATTACCGGTCTGGGAACACACGGAACACGCTAGAGCCATCATTCTGCCAGGGTGTGCAGTTGAGCATAATGATATTTCACGCATAAAGTGACCTATTATTAAAGAAATGTTACAATGGAAATGAAGTTTTGCAGAATTCCACTGCTGGGACCACACTGATACTAGAACTTTTTGCTCAGAACATGGAACGCAGTTCTATTAATATGGGAACTCATATCCTTTTCATCAAATGCAGTTTAAATAACGTAAACAAATGAATTAAAACCGTCGAGATGAATAAAATAATAAAGGTGAAATGGTCCAAATTTTACAGTAAAGCAGATAGACAAAAAATAAACCTCCTCCATCATATAGTAGTAGCGCAGAGCACGTGCCCACAAGAATATCATCATTGAGACCGACACAAACGCATGTTATTGGAGCATGCCCTGCGTGAGTTGTAACACTAAAGCTGAACAATGGACGGAATGCACTGTCAAAAACAAACACCTGAAATGGATATCAATTAGGATGCTTCCAAATGCAATCCATTAATATTCATTAAAAGTAATACAAAAAGTGACATAATAAGTTGAAATCTTAAAAACGCCGACTATTTGGAACAGAGAACTCTTCTTCTTAAGAACACTTACAGAGGGGGTTACTCGAATCAAGTATTCACACGGTTCATAGGCTCTAAAAAATAATTACTTTACAATTCAAAAATTTTATTATCAAAGAGTTGGAAGGTTAATTAGCGAGCAAATAAAATATTATAAACCCGCAGTTACAATTACCGTTCCCGATACTTTCTAAAATTAAGCAATAAAAACTATTCGTTTTGTCAAATTACCTTATCACACGCAGTATCAGCAATTAGGTATCGTCCTCGGCTATCGATACAAAGATCAATAGGCTCCGCAAATTCGGTAAAACTCATAGTCTGTAATTAGATTACCACTACCACCGATAATATTGTTTAACAGGCCCATGAACTACTGATGAAATGAAGAAAAAAGATTATAAGGACAAAATTAAACTATCACCATAAAAATGAACCTGAAGAAGCTCTCCAGAAGGATCACATCTACACAGTTCCTTAGTTCTCCAATTTAAGGTTAAAATATCACCAGACGGTAAAACTGTCATACCAACAGTGCTACCACCTTTGATTCCTCCACTTTTAATATCTCTCAGAAATTCTCCGTTTACATTTAAGACTTTTACTGAAAAAAATTCAAACGATTTTATTGAGAAAAATTTAAACGAGAAAGATGAACTGAAATACTGTTTCTCAAAAAAGATGAAATGAATTTGCTAAAAATATCACTCGAAGGAATAGTTCTGCGAGTAATCGAAGTAACACTATTTCATCAAAATTTTTAAGATCAGAAAAGAGTTATGAAGTTAGAACCAACTTCGATTATTTCCAGTATCCAGAATATAAATTTGTTCACGTGAATCTTGAAATACTTTTACTGGCTGATTAAGCTGGAGTGCTCCTGCTCCATGAGACCCGAAATGCCATTTTGGGCAGTGATGGCTACTTACATTTACAGAAAAAGGACTGTTTTTTACCGGTCGACCAAAGATCGTTACTCGAATCAAATATTCACACGGTTCGTAGGCTCTGAAAAATGATAACTTTATAATTCAAGAACTTTATTATCAAAGAGATTATTGAACACAACCTTTTGAGAAGCTAGAATTCATCATTAATAATCCAGTAGATTTAAAAGCATGTAAGATAAGAGAGATTCATATCACAAAAAATCAAGCGAAATTATGTCACGAAACCAATGATAAAGAATGAAAAATTACTTGAAACAAATGGAATACGTTCCATCCTCTTCATCTTTTATCATTGCGTCAATTGTTTCAACTTTTTCAGTACTGCTATCTTCACCTGAACTTTGTTGCCCCAATTTGGCTTTGACAATTTCTACCTTTACTGGATCACCACCACTATTCCGGCGTTTACCACTAACATCGTATGTAGTTAATATTAAGTGAGTTTCTGTACATACACTGGACGTATCTATAAGCTCTACAATACACTGTCCTGGGAATGTTGTTGAACCAGAAACTGCACCAAACTGGCTAAGTGACTTTTCAATTTCTGAAACTTTGCTTATGTTTGAAAAGCAAAAAAACGGTAACAATAAATAAACAACTATTCTTGTAAAATGAAACGTGTAATGTGTAAATAAATAATATACCGAAGAGGAGCTTTTTGGTGTCCATGTGTAATTTTAAGAAAGCATTTTCACGAGGTTCCGTTAAAGCAAGTGCTTCTTCAGTGGCTGCCATAACACGTCTAGTACGTGCTCCAATTTCACGTACGTCCACTTCGCAAATTCCTAATTCCCTTTCCAGCCTACAAAAACATTACAAATAAAAAAGAAGAGAAAAAAATATTTGAATGTCTCAGTCTGCTTTCATTAGTGGTAAAACAAACACAATAACTATCAGGAACAAAATAATTCAAAAACAGACTATTTCAGATAGTAAGCGAGATCGATTCACGTATAAATCAAAGCAATAAAATCTCATCACAAAGTTTCACACAAATAAACAAGTTATTACTTTTTACGGTAAGAGTCAATCAGTTCCGTCTGATCGCGCAATACTTTCTGTTTTTCGTCTCTCATCATTCGAACTGCATCAATCAATTGACGACGTCGATTTTCCACCAACTGATATATTTCCTGAAAGCCAGCACCCAAAATAAAACTAATAAACAATCTTACTTTTAAGCTGACTTTTAACTAAAATCTGTTATCCTATTCTGATTCTTCTGATTTCTCCTTTCCTCCTTTTACTACCTGATAAATTAGTAATAATTTAGTTTCTTCAATTTCCTCTTCGTTTAATACACATGTGCTTACTTGAAACGACGCATTTAGTCCATCTACAACATTGTCAACATTTCGATCCAGCTGCAACGTCTCGCATTTTACATTAGCTGCAGCCGTATTCAAGCTTGCAACACACTGATTTGCTTTATATACAACGATTTCTGATAGGCGCTTTATTGCAATCGAAAAAGGAATCACAGTATGATCAGAGCAGTCACGTCTAAAAATTAATTATCAAAAAATTTTTGTAACATTGATATGGTAGACTTCAAAAGAATATAAGACATTAAGATTTTACACCGTTTATTTCTATATGATTTAACGTACTTTAAAACTTAGCAGAATCCTACATCCGAAATGATGAACAGCAGAGGAAAGAGGAGAATCCGCCAATACTTACGTGGATGGAGAATCACAGTGCTGACAAAAAACGAGATCACATGCTTCACAATAGAGCAACTGCTCTTGTTGGTGTACTGAACAATTGGGTACAACATCTTTGCGCTGTTTTTGCATCAAATCAAGAAGTTGGTTAATGAGAAATGAAGAAGGGAATGCATTCGATCCACCGGAAGGTAAAGTAATGATCTCACGACAGAGCGGACAGCGTATGATTCCTGTTTCAACCACCTGTAATTTATTTTATGAAAATACAAATCGAGCACGGGTGAATATACTGAATTGTTTGAATTACGATCTTTGCAGTCTTTGAATAGTTTTTCACAATTTCTAAATTTTCAGTTCTGATTCGTTTTACTGGATTTCTTACCTACTACTATGGATAAAAAACTTGCAGCTAGAATTCAGTGAAATTCTATCATTCACGTTGCTACAGTAGTTATAATTCTGGTCGTCCAGAAAATATATTTCCTTATTAACGTAATATAAAGTAAAATCTAAATAAGACAAGTTCTATCAACTTCCATTCCCTCTCAAATTTGGTTTAAGTGATTTTAATAATTTTGCCCTTCCAAGGATATGTAAAAGGATAAAAAATCATTAACTGTCAAATCATTGACTAATCATGTGAAACAATTAATGTTCGAATAAATGCAATTACACTTAAAATCTAATGATTCAATTTTTCAATATAAAACTTCAACCCTACAGAAGTCATCGCCTCTCATAGATTACCTGCGGCAGTTGCTCCATACGCAGCAAACATTCCAGACATACAGTATGAGAACACGAAAGAAGCTTCGCTTTCTTTCGTTCCTGAAGAAAAAGGAAGGAATTTTTCCTATGAATATATACTTAAATTTGCATATTTTTTCTAGCTTCTCTTAGATGCTAAATATTTCTGACCAAAGCTTTTGGTTATTTTAGCTTTTGTGGACGTATTGTTGGTGACCTGTTTTAAAAATGATCAGAATCACTGTGGTGTTAGCAATTATGTTTTATAAATGTATCTTGACAGGAAGCTGTGGCATTTTAGATAAAAAATCATTAAATGAGATTCTCATTAATTAATGATATAAAGCAACGAAAATTACCTGATCGTAAGTGCATAAGCATGTAACACAGGTTAGAAAAGTTTCAGAGAAATCCTCCAGATTGATATTGACGGTTTCAATAAAGGTCGAGGGCATATGGCCACGGATTAATCGCATTTGCTAACTGCGTGGCGAACTGCACTGAACAATTAAGCACAGATAAATATACCGACCAAGTATTGCTGGTGAAGGTATGCTAAGATAATCCATGCACTATCAGCACTACAACAGACATTAATGTTTTTCATTAATGCCCAGCTGCAGTATCCATACGAGACATCAAAAATCTCATCATGAACCCCAATATCTTATCGAAAGCTCTGAAAACAAAAATAGAGAAGATGTCATTATCATTGATGTTTGCAACTACAGACTATTAGATGTCAAACGACGGAATCTTACGGAAATTTACAAAGCAAAAAACATGAGATCACGTTTGCGCCATTCTGATACAGTTTTTAGGTAAATTTTTTTCAAATGAATTATTTTAATCATCAATTTAAACTTTAATAACTACATTTTGGGAAAACAATTCTAGAGATGAGATTTTTTATGAATTTATCTCTTCCCTTGAAAAAGAAAAACAGTAAAATTGAAAGAAGCGTTAGAACTATCGCAATGAAATTCACTACAGTTTGATTAGAGATAATCAGAATCGTTTCTGATTATCTCTAAAATTAGAGATAATCCTTTTTTTTTAATTAAATTCCTTTTTTTTCCTTTTTTTTAATTAAAAATGCTCTAATCCTAAATTGAACAATAAATGCAGTGTGTATAATATAATTTCTGTCAAATCTATATCTTCGGATATATACAACATTTCAATTAAAAACAACCCTACAATAATACCCTCTTGACCTGCGCTGAAATTTACTGGAACTAATTCTTCTTTTAAAAGATGGCTCGGCCAATAATGAAGAAGTGTAGAACGAGAATTGTCTGAGTGATAAAGTGTTTAAAAGTCTTCAATAAATGAGAAGAAAAAGAGATCGATAAAAAGATCTCTTACGACTGGACTTAAGATACTGAAAAAAAAAATGACATGAGAGATAATTTTTATGAACTTTATATTCCTTTGTTTCAATTCTCAAATTCATTAAACTGCATTCCTTATTAATTTCGTAATGAAACTTAAATCTCCGAAAATAAATTCATCTATATGATTTCCTGTATAAGCTATCCATGCGAAAATCCTCATTTCATAAATCATTTTTGTAAAAAAAAATGTGACCGCATTTTTATATATAATGATAGAAAGAAGAGAAAGATGATATATGAAGAGGAGAGAAATGACGGATGGGATAGGACATCGTTGCACGGCTATGTCGCGTAAAAACAAGGTCGTCCCGTGGTTGGCGTTGCGTCGAAAAAAGTTGAATAAGTCAGCAGCAACCAGTAATTTTCTTCGTTCTCCTTAACACAGTTAATCTCCTCATTTTGTTTCCGTTTTCTTTTTTCCTTATTGTTTCAAGTGAAACACTCTCAGAGATGTATTCCGGTTTCCTTACTATTCAATCTTCAAATCTTTACCTCTTCCATCCCATTCGATCTTATAGTTCCTCGATCGATCAACATGTATAGGTGTTTTTCAAACTAGTTCGAAGAATATATATATATCGAAGAGTATTATATCGATTTGAATGCTAATTTTATTCCTCATACTATTCAGTAAAGTCCCAAGTATATGACAGCCTCAACTCACTAGTCCCTTAGTTATTGAATTTAAATTCCAAATCAATCATGAAATTTCTACTTCACCTACCACACAGCTTTCATTTTTCTAATCCAGCATGAAATTTGAGATTTAAAGTGCCCTATAAAGGATGGAATGAGGAGAGGAAAGAAAGAGAGACCATTCATTCAACGCATATCAAAACCGCAATCAAACCACGAGCTGCCCTTTTCAGTGAGTTTTACTCTGATGTTCACATCTCGCCCATCCCCCACACTCCCACAACCATCCATCTTACCTGTAGGCCCACGTATAAATTGCCCTTAGCCGAGATTTATTGCCTTCAGTGGATGAAATTTGCATTTGCTGAGAAATTGTTTGTTTGGCTGAGAGTTATGGATCTGCGGCGAGGTTCTTGTTCTGTGCTCAGATTTCATTGAATTTCTTTGATGTCTGCTGTCATCTAACAATTGTCATCCATTTACAAGAATCGCATGTGTGCCATATGCTTCTGCTACTTGGAGATATCGAGCTCCCAATGAGTGGTGTGATAACTTTGATGATGTAAAAATCTTGAACTTCCGCTTGAAACTTGGTTCAACACCAATGAAATTTTTGATTTGTCAATTTTCTTTACGTTCTTTGCAGACGAATGGATGATCGTTTGCAAATCCACAGTGATAGCACCTCTCCAACGACGTCATACGGTGGTGTACTACCAAGGGATACAACTGGATCTGCAATACAGTCACTCACAAACGGATCTCCTATTAATGATGGAACTAGAAAACCTGACAAAGCGCCACTTATGCCAGGTATGAAAGGTTTTGCTGTTTTCTTGGGTATTCGCACAAATATTGAAAGTTAAGCAATTGTCCTGAAAGTCGTAGGATACTTCGGGAAATAGTGTGGCTTCGTAATTTAACCAATTTCTTCCTTTCGTTAAGCATATTTTCAGCCATAACTGATAACTTTTGATTTTTCAGTATCAGTGTAAAAAACAAATATTCGCGAACATATTAGATTTGTATAAGAAATTTGTATAGTTAAGTACTATAAACAATCTGTTTATGGTTGTTATTAGAATGAGAAAGCAGAGCAGTAGAGCATGAATGTTAATGGAAAATCCTCAGGGTAATGATGTGTATAAATCTTATATGGGATCTTGGCTTATTTTAATATCTCTGTTGCAATCTTACCATTCGTGATCGAATTTCTATTTCAAGTATATAAAATAGTGGAATTTAAGTAAATAAAATACTGAATTACCGGGAATATTTATCCCACAAAAATATTTCCTGCGAATATGTACCTCACGGTACATAAGAGGAGAATCTTAAAATCAGTTATCTAATCATTTGCAATGAAGTCTGATGTATAAGATGACAAAATAGAAAAAACAATGCTTATCCTTTCCGAGTTATAATCTTTCATTTAAATTTTCAATAGCAATTCAGAGATGTTATTATAACTTTCAGTTCATGTTGCTTAAGTGTCAAATTTTTTCTTCATTTAATAAGTTTTCTAAACATTTTGCTTGGCATGTGAAAGTACCAGCTTCCTCAGTCTTTTTTAATATTTTTCAACTTTTCTTATATTTATTGGAAATTGCGGATTATGTATTTCATTAATGCCATATATTAGTCACTCAATGATTAAACAAGTTAAAGTTAGCTAAAATGGAAGTTTGCGTACTAGTTTTGTACTTCGAGGCACTTGTATTATGAATAGCTTCATAGTGCAAACTTGAGAAGTGCCGTAAACTATCTGATGCATGTCTTGTCCGAATGAGATGACTCAAAGAACATGAGAACTGATATAGATTTTCGTTCTTCGCATGATTTTTTTATTTCATATCATTTAAGTACTTACAAGTTCGTGCGGCTAGCATTGGCATCGTTTACTAACTAATGATCCTTTTTAATTGGTGTAAGGATTATATAATAATTTGAGGATAAGACTATCACCAATATTCTATTTTCTCTGAATAATTCTTTCGTAAGTTCATTTAATGCTTAATTTAAAACAAATATTTATTGACATTCTTGTTCATCTTCTTTTCGCTTGACGTTGCTCTGAATTTCAGAATTTTTCAAAACTGCAGTTATCTGCTATCACAATAGGTTTCGTTATATAAAACAAAGCATTTTTAGATCGAGATACAAGATTAAACAGTGGAACTTCACAAATGTATACCGAGGAACGACCTTATCTTAGCAAGTTTTTTTTTCAAAAGCAATCAAGTGGGAATGACAATTTGCTTATATACATATACAGTTGAACTTTGTTGTTTTATTTTCAAAAATATTTATTTTATAGATTCTGTGGATTTCGTAAATGCTGGTAAACCAAATGGGTTATCCACACTTTCTGGTGTATTTGCACCTGTGGCTATTTCTATGTTTAGCGTTTTGCTATTTCTTCGGATGGGTAAGCTTATTTAATTAAAATTTTAGAAGCTATTACATCTTCAGAGAAATTTCATAAAAATAGTTTGCAGACTTTGCGGTCGCTGTAGTGGTTTGCTTACTAGGATTTTAAATATCTTCACTAATCAGTACATGTCAATATATTAACTTTCGCGCACCTTTTAATGATGCTGCGCTTAAAACGGAGGACTGTTTTTAAATATTTCTTTATTTTTATGAAGTTTTAATCTTTAAGACAAGAGTAGCTAAAAACGGAAATTTACTATGAGTGGAAGAAAAAAGTTTGTTTCTTAGAAAATAAATAAACTATATGAATTTTACTTAAGGTTTTGTTGTTGGTCAGTTGGGTTTCCTCCAAACTATTGCGCAATTATTCCTTGCATATACAATCGTTATGTTGACCGTTCTTTCACTTTGTGCTATTTCTTCAAATGGCGCTATCGAAGGCGGTGGAGTTTACTGTAAGTTGTTATCTTTTTCTTCCGTGATTTTGAAAAAGATTTTTCTTATTTTTAGATATGATAAGCAGATCATTAGGACCAGAGTTTGGTGGCGCCATTGGATTGCTGTTTTATACCGCCAATGTTTTTTCTTGCGCCTTATATGTATCTGGATTTACCGAAGCTTTATTAAGCAATATTGGTGAAGAGAGTATGTTTTTTCGTTGTTCTTAGTTCATGCAGCAAATTGTATCATAGATGAATTAATTCTTATTGTAGATCTAAGTAGATTTTAATTATATGCTGATCTAATATAAATTGGGAATAAAATAGTCATATGACATCAAAGTAAAATGTTTATGGCTATAAAGTGAGTAATTTTGCTGAGTAATCACTATATTTCAATAAGCATGCTGATTTTGGAGATTGGTGTTGTACGAGTGACAGATGCACCTGCAATTTCAGGTTCACCTTCTAGCGCCAGCTGGAAATTTCTGTGTTGTGTATTTGTCTCCTTTATTCTGCTACTTTTATGCCTTCTTGGAGCTGGATTGTTTGCTAAAACAGCATTTATTACATTCATTGTTATCTCTATTTGCTATGTTACATTTTTGTTATCAGTTATTATAGTTGCACCATTCAATGTTCCAATACCAAAAACAAATGAAATTGCTTATATGGTAAATTCTTTTCTTAGTTGCCCTGCAGATTCAAATTAATATTGTTCTGCTTGGCGGTGTTGGTTAAATTAATTTTTTTTCATAGTTTTTCGTATTTTTTGAATAGTTTAATTAAAATAGGCGTTTTTAAAGGTTCCATCAAATTTGTCAGACCCGTCTTCTGAGAAGGTACCCGACTTCAATCAGACATTGAAAGCATCTTATACAGGATTCAGGTAAGTTGCGAAACAGTTTCATGATAGAAAATTAGGTAATATTTTAGGGCTTCTGAAAGATTTAGAACTTTTTAGATCATACGTAATAAATTTACTGTGTATTAAAATCTCCTTTCGTTTTTTATTTGAATTGAGCAAGTAAGGATTCAGATTTACAGCTTCCATATTCGCATATCCTAATACGAAGAACATTGTTGAAATTGTGGGATTGTTTTCGAAAATTTCATCCGAAGGATATACTATTTTCTACTTGTAAGTTTTTTGAGGACAAGATATGAGTTCAAATTTAGGTTCGCAACTCTGATTAGCAATATGATGACAAATTACACGTTTGATTACACAACGTCGAAGCCTACTGATTTTGCTGTGATGTTTGCAATTATATTCAGCGGTATTACTGGTGAGTTATTAAAATCGTATTTAACCAGTTTAATCTGAAATGTTGGGACAAATTAATCAGCGTAAGTAATTTGTTTGTTACCAAGTTTATTTTTAGTTTTCTGGTTTTGATGGCTTTCATCATCAGTATGATTACTAATGCATCCTTTCTATTGTACTTCACCTTACTATGTTCACATTAATGATATGTTTATGTTTGGCTAAACAAGTTACACGTTTCTTTTTAGTTTATTGCTCTGATTAAGTTGGTAGTGAGCAGGTAGAAACTTAAGGACTCGGAATTTTTCAAATGTTTATGTATTAACTATTGCAGGATTGATGGCTGGCGCAAATATGTCAGGTGAATTGGCTAGTCCATGCGTTTCCATTCCATATGGCACTGTACAGGCCGTTTTTGTTACGTTAATCGTATACATTACTACGGCATTTTTTACTGCTGCTACATGTAGTCGTGAATTACTTCAGTCGAATTATTCGGTAAACTTCCAGCGTATTTTTTTATTATTTTTGAATCCATAATATATGTTAGGTGAAATTTATTCCTTTTTATATGTTCATTTTGCGGTAACACTTTTAGAATGCGTATGTTGCTGGCTTTAAAAATTTTTCTTTTTATCAAAGGAATTGATGCTTCCGGAATGAGTTATTAGAGATAGAGGATTTTGAAATTAATTGAAGGTTATGATGAATGTGAACATTTCGCCGTTGTGTATTCTTATTGGTATATTTTCGACAACATTTTTCTCATCTATGAGTAATATGATTGGTGCATCCCGTGTTTTGAACCGCGTTGCACACGATAAGCTCTTTGGCTACTTGCTTCATCCGGCGAAAATCGAAGTCGGTGGTGGTAACCCCGTGGCGTCGGTGATCATCTCATGGATTTGCGTTGTGGTATTCTTTATTTTTTATGAATTGTTTTTATCTTTCAAATTTTTGTGTAATGCAATTGATATACCCTGAGAAAACTTGTTTAAAACGCATACAGAAGTTCCACCTTGACAAATTTATTTCATTGTGTTTACTACATGCCGGAAAAAAAGCAGTTTTTCCAATGGATGTCTCAGCGTATAGATAAATTTAATGCCTCAAACTAAACACTTCATTAAATGGAGGTCAGAAATGTTGATGGAATGTTATGTTTATTATTTGCGAAGTGTTTTGCAGTTAGTTTTCTTGATTGGTGCGATGAATAGGATTGCCAAACTAACATCTATCTTTTTCTTGCTATCATATATGGGCGTTAATATTGCTTGCTTAGCACTGGAATTAACAAGCGCTCCAAATTTCCGGTAGGGCATTTTAAAAATTCAATTTTGCTGTGAATATATTTAGGTGTCAATCTTTTCGAAGTACAATCAGTATAAGATAATAAGAATATATGATTTAGCCATAAAGTGATGGCCAGATCATATATTTTTATTTCTTTTGCTAAAAATAAGTCTAGTGGATGGCGTAAATTGATCCACACTTCCTTCTGATGATGATAATACGAATATTTGTGAAATCGTACTTTTAAGACTCTTTTTTAGGCCAACTTTTAAATATTTTACATGGCATACTTGTGCAGTCGGTGTTATAAGTACTATTATAATGATGTTAGTCATTGATGCTGCTATGAGTGCCATTGGCGTCATCGTACTTTTGATCTTGATTATAATTCTGCATTATCAAGTACTTTTTTGTTGTTGATTTTTTTATTTCTCCTTTTGCATTATTCATATTCTTACTTTCAATATTTTTAACTCTTTCCATATGCATTTTTTCAGGCCCCAGCAGGATCTTGGGGATCTATATCTCAAGCTTTGATCTACCATCAAGTACGGAAGTATCTTCTTCTTCTTGATGTCCGCAAAGAACATGTAAAGTATGTATTTCATCCTTATGGAAAGAATTGGTAGCGGAATTCCTGAAGTCAAGAAAATGAGGGTCCTCCTTCTGTCACAAAATAGATTACTTATTATGCTCTTTCTTATTATTCTCTTTCAGGTACTGGCGGCCACAAATACTCCTTCTGGTTAGTCGTCCCGCAAGCGTTTGTCCGCTAATGGACTTCATCAACGATTTGAAAAAAAGTGGCTTATATGTAATTGGTCATGTGCAAAAAGGTAGCATGGATGATGGTAGTCCAAATTTGGATCCGTTGCATGAGGTGGTGTCTAATTCCTTAGAGGATTCCCTGAAGTTTATCATTTATTATCCATTCAATGACAGAATCTTTGTCTTGATTTTACTTGTAAAATCACTCGGTTGAACAGCGCTAACGATTTCATCATTTTGAATAAATATTATCAATTTATTGCATTATTTATCCAGTAATTTATATTTAGGTATTCCCATATTGGTTATCTTTAGTTGATTATTTGAAACTAAAGGCTTTCGTTGAGTTAACCATTTCGAAGTCAGTGCGTGAAGGTATTCAACAGGTGAATCTTTACTATTATAATGACATCTTAAAGTGAAGGTAAAGAAGAGGATGTTTAGAATTTAAAGAATTTTGTATAAATCATCATGGTTCAGGAAATATCCAATTTTTATAGATTTGGATATTTTTCAAACTGAATTTTTTTAAGAGCAATGGAATTGCGCAGTTTATGTTTTTGAGCATGAGCTCAAAGCTCTAATTCCTTTCTTATAGTTCATAACGATGGGGTCCACAAATGTTTGGGGACAAAAATCGATAAGTGACCATTTGGAAGGAATAAAGAAATTTTACATATAACAATGTAGCAGTGCGGCAACTACTTATTTCTTGAGCAGTTAGGTTTACCGTCGTCGTATTTGAAGTGAAATTATTGAGTGATAGCAAGAATTTTTCCTTTTCGCTTTTTTTCAAGAAAAAATTTCTTATATTTCAGTTAATGCGTTTATCTGGTTTGGGAGCCATGAAACCGAACACCGTTGTCTTGGGTTTTCATGAAAAATTTCCAACAGAAAATACCCTTGCTGAATCTTGTCTTCTGAAAGATCTTAGATTTTCTCGTATCGATCGAGCTGCTGTTGTCGAATATTTTACCGCCTCAGATTATATGCCACGCGTTAGTTTCTTCTTTTAAATCTTTCATTGGGAGAATCTGGTCTGTTCTGACTTTTGTAAACAAAAAAAGACTATTAAAAAGAGCTTTTTATGTAGTTTCTCCTTTAAAAGTAGACACATGAAAAACTTTTTTTAAATCATCTTTCAATATTTTTTAAAATTTCCAGTCGTCCAAATTGTTTCTTGACACTTTTTAAAAATTCTGATTCAGTCATGTGAGATTCTGTGCTTTACTGAATTTGGTCTAGCTTTTCTCATACCCGTCAAAAACTTTCTAAACTTTCTCAAATAAACTCTCTATAGCGGGAATTATTGTGAGTGGGAAGGGCCAGCTTCTTTTTACAACGCGATAAGCATCTTCTGAAGCACTGGGGAAGAAGCAGCGAATCTGAAGGCAGGTATCTATCAATAAAAACCATGTGACTTACATTAGTCAGCAAAGGGATAAAAATTTTAAGCTCAAAAATAATTTAGATTAACGGAGAAGTTTTATTTTGGCTTCCTCTTAATTTGATTCAGCAGTTTCCGGTTTCAGCTATTTTTCAGGAGCCCAACAGTTCGCATGAACGTTTGGATAGTGAGGAATATGTACGCATTTTGAATGATGTAATTCATATCAACAAAAATTTGTGTGTTGCTCGCTATTTTAATCATCTAGATAAAGATGTCCCAAGGTTAGTAGAAAATAACTTTTTAAGATTCATTTAAGATTTTAACTCACCCTTTTTCTTTCTTTCTCGTGTTATGTTTCAGAGGATGGAATGGTCAAAAAAAATTCATTGACGTTTGGCCAGTATTCATACAAAAACCTGGTGAAACGGGGCTTGGCTGGAGTAACAGGTGCGTTTTTAAGTTGCACTATGTTTTTTGTTTGAAATTGTGGCTTTTAAATTATTTTTTAATATTGTTTTTTATTATTAATAATGAAAAAATTTTTTGTCATATGGTTCAACTCAACACTTTTTTTGATTCTATTACGAAAAGAGAATGATCACCTGCTGTTGGTTGCTTTTTATGAAGATGCTCAAATATTTTCAGTTCTCTTTTCTTACTTCAAATGGCTTGCATACTATCGATGAGTACTCGGTGGCGTTCGTTATCAGTTCTGCGCGTTTTTATCTGTGTTAATAGCCTACAAGTCTGTCTTATTTGAATATCAGAACTATTTTGTCATTTATTGTTTGAGGAACTACATTCGAATTTTTGCACTAGGTTCATTTATACTTTGCAGCATGTATGTCCGTCCAAACATTATATCTTGCCAATCTGCGGTAATTGAGCAGTTTGGTCTTCATTTAATCAAAAAGCAGGACAGAGTCATTTTCCTCGTTTGCTTGATATAACTAAGATCGATTTCCTTTGTACTTAGCATTACTTGGCCCAATTATCTAAATCAATTTTTACAAAAGAAGTTGGCGTCAGGAAATAGTGAATTTCTAGTCAACTATTTCTTCAATTTACAAGTAAATCATGGAGGTGGCAGGCTACAATCTGAATTTATACAAAGTTATATTCGTCTGCCTTTGAGAGCAACTTTACAAGTGCAGTTTTTTTTAAAAGAACGCTGAATACGTTTCCTATTCTGTACTCTTGCCTAAACATATTCTGTTATAGGACATGCAGAGGCGTGAGCGACAACTGAAGCAAATGCTGGCACATCTTCGAATAAATGCGAAATCATTGGTGACACCATGGGATCATGTTGTTTGCCATCTTGATAGTGACAATCCATCAGCTCCATTAAGGTCACTAAAAGTTAATGAAACTTATGTTTGTTAATTCTGGTCCATGTTTTCATTTACATTATTTAAGATATATTTCGGCATTTTTGAATTTATATTATTGTAAATTCAAGTGTAATGTAGGTTACTTGGGTTTTTTGTTGCAGGGAATCAGTTGATTTACCGTTGCCTTATTTGACAGCTCTGAATGATTTGATTAAAAAGAACAGTGGTGACGCAGCTGTGTGCTTGTTGAATTTGCCAACTCCACCAAAAGACGTAATTTTCTCCATTATTGTGTAATATGTTAAAAGTGAAGAGAATTATTAGGTAGTTATCTTTACAAACTTCCTCGAACATTAATGTGAGTTGCATATTAATGCATTAGTTTATCTCATTTGACAAGGCAGAAAATATATGTATGTAGAGAATTAGAGAAAAAGTAGAGAAGATATGGAAAGTTGAGATCTAATGGTTCAAGTTAATGATTAAAAACTAATACAACTAGAAATTTAAGTAGCAGTGTAAGGATCTAATAGTGATTACTTGCTGTATTTTTTCATATCTCTGATATAACTAAATAATTTATTTTTTTTAGATTTCACGAAGTGAGCAATATTTGGAAGTAATAAGGCACTTGACTGATGGTTTACCACCAACACTGTTGGTACATGGCTTGTCGTCAGTTATATCGACGGCGCTATAATCATAGTACATGAATAACAAGCAGCTATAGAGATTAAGATTTTTCAAATAGTTATTGATTTTGAAGTATTTTTGAATTTATTAATTACACTTACTGATGGGTTACTACCAATACTGTTGGTACATGGCTTGTCCTCAGTTGTATTTCGACTTCATTAGAAACCCAGTTCTGTCGTGCTGTTGTACTTACGTATATTTTAATTAGACACTTCACTCACCGCATTTTAAAAACTGTTGTTCTTTGATAGTTATTTGTGACCACGAAAAAAGATTCCTCCTGATTAAAGAGCATCAAATCCACCATAATGCCTCATTCGCGAACTTCTTGCTGGTATAGTTTTCAGCTATTAAAACCACGAGGATCTTACAGTTTTCTTTCCATTTTAAGTCTCCTATATCGTAATCTATTTTTGCTAGAGTTAATAAATTTGCTACCAATCATGAAACTCTCCAGTTTGAAACAAAAATTCGACTTCATAAGAAACCCAGTTCGGTCGTGCTGTTATATGTGCTACACTTCCAGCCATCTTTTTTTTAATTTTTGTGAAGGATATTCTATAAAACATTTCTGTTTTTCTAATTTCATGTCTATTTCATTACTATTAGTACTTTTTTGGCATTTTTGATTCGCTTTGATATTTCTTATGTTATTATTGTAAGCATATTTTTATGTTGATTGCTATAAGCACTTTGATATAGTGAGTGCACTTAATTCTCTAACTTAATGAAGAAGGCGAACTATATGATTAATTTAGCTGTTGTGATTTTTCCTTTCTTACTCCTTCATTCTGTACTTAATTCCTGAGCTTTATATTTACTACATGTTGCTACTACTTTATTATTATTTCACAGACTTCTTTTTAAAATTTTCGAACTCGAGAAAGCGTGTACTCACAGTGTTCAGTTTATTAAAAATTGTGACAAATTAAATGACAAGCTGAAGCTTTAAAAGCAGTTAATAATTTTCGTCATGTTTTGGAATCTCTTCTGTTGATGATCAGTAAGAACATAATCTCTCTGTTAAATTTCTCCCGAAAGGGATTGCTCTATTAAGTAATAAGTCATCGCTACTTACCTTAAAAAGAGGAGATCAAGATGTTTTACATAAAATAAGGATTAAAGCATATATTGTTGATTTAAAATGAAAATTTTGCATTTTAACGATACAGATTTCGATTAGGAAACTGTCACTCTTCCCGTGCTTTATATATTTACACGGTTCATTTTTTTTAGAACTATGGTTTTTAGGATTATGATTTCATCCGATACTTAATGGAATTTTTAAAGTTATGACCTTTTCCTCTCTAAATACAATGATTCTAAATTTTGTCACTGTTTGCTTCTTTACATTTGAATTTTCTTTTCTTAATTCTCTTGCTAACGCTCTGCTCTTGTCGAGATATGGTCAATCTACTGCTTATCTCGAGAAAACTAAGGTTTACGAAACACGCATTATAAAAATTTGTTCTAATTTATCTGTTTACCCAAATTCATACGTAAACTCTTTTTAACTTAAATTTCACATGTCTTAAGCATCTTACAAATCTATATCTTGAAATCAGGTAAATTAATTCACGTGTAAATTATTCTATTGCGAAACTAAGTTTATAATCAATGGTTAAATTGTTGTAAAATATCAAATAGCTTTGTTATCCACATAGCTATTTTTATATCCAATAGGATTATATCACAATATATGTCTTTGTAATTCATCCCATATATAAGGAATTGGAATTTCTTACGATGTTACTCTTTTTTTTCTTCTTTTATTGTTTCTATTACTTAACACTCCTTCTACGTAATTATTTAATTATTGACTGTCTACGAAGAATATTCGCTTCGACAGATTAACGATTCAAACTTTGAAATGATTACTTCAATCATCAATAATGGAAAAGAAATCTTGTCTATTGATACGATGTCATATAATATTACCACTAATCTTCCACAATGAATAAACCATTACAACAATCTTTTTCTGCTAAACAGCAACATTGTAAATTATCACTTAGAATCGACGATAACTTATTCGGACAGAATATCATAGGTAGCATGTTATAAGAGAATTGAGAGAGATAGGGTTGTAAAGATTAAGCTGATGAGAAATTAAGAAAAGATGACAATAATTATCATTTTATCTTCTAAATTTGATAAAAAGTATTTCTCAAATTTTTCTCTACAATGAATTTAAATGTAAATTGTAGAGCAATACAGTAATCAGACAAAAGTATTGGGGAATCTATAAGAAAAGATGATAAGAATCAGATGATTGATAACATTGAAACGTTTATAATTTAAGTGAAATTTCGACAAACTCTTTAAACTGTTGTTCTTTTGATGCTCCAAATGACTTACTAATTTCTAATTGTTAATGTGCCCATTTGAAAAACGGAAAAGGTTTATCTTTATGCAATGCCCATCAAGTGGTCGAGTAAATATTTCCAACATCGATTGGATACGTAATGTTGAAATTATGTTGATATCTGATTCATCTCATCTATCATTTTATTCTCACAATTATTGCTCTAGGTAAATTGTATGTTAGAATCAAAAACATTAGGCTAAGTATTTCTTTTTAATCCAGTCCGACAATGAATCATAAATAAAATTTGGATACTTCATCGGGTTATATGCAAGCTTCTTATTTTGAGTATTATATTTAAAATTGATCACTTCCTTGACCTCAGCTTTCAGAAATACTCCACCGATCAATATTTGTTTGTATCATTATTATAAACGATGTTAGCTTCGTTTCTGGTATTTAAAATGATTTCATTATTTTAAGCGATAAATTAGGATATTTCTTATATAACTGGTTTGGAAGACAGAAGTTTGTGTTTGATTTATTTTCTTCCTTTCATTGGATTAGGTGAAGTAATTTAATATTGATGTCTATAATCATCTGGCAAGATGGCATTCGTCATGCAATTGTATCACAATTGAGAGACATCTTTGCTGTACAATTTGATATTGGAAGTATTCAAAAAAATTATTGGTAGTACTTTGAAATATACCAATTTGTTTAAAAAAAATTTTTAAGTATATCAATTAACTTTTAATTATACTAATTTGTTTAATGAAATGTGTAAGTTATTTACAGTAAGAAATTTATTTGCATTACGGTGACTTCAATATCCTCCATATTTGAAATTTTTTTGACAAATTAGTGAAAAATGGAATCGTGATATTTTATGACTCATTTCTGAATCAATTACGATAATTCATCGTGATTTGAGTATGTCAATGATAAATTTCATTTAAATCATTTCCAGTAAAATCATTCAAAATTTTCAATATCACTTGGATGAAAATTTCGTCGAAGAAGAAATGGGATGAGAGAGAGTGTCCAGAAAAATGATGAAAATATGGTCAGAATCAAAAAGTACAGGGATGAATAAGGACTAAAAGGTACTGTAGACAGATATGTTTACCATTCAATAAATATATTCATCTTATCAATATTACAGATTGATATAATTATCGCATATGTAGTTGAATATACCTGTCATATTGGAATATTATTGAAGGAATAGAACATGCAAAAGCATTTTAAGAGTATTTGCAATTTAATATAATTTTAAAAAAATTACAAAAAAAGTTTTTTTTTTATTAAAATATGCAAATTAACCAAATGAAAGAGAATTTATGATCAACAGCAGAAACTATAAAATATTACAGCAAATGTAAAATATATTTCATAACAAAATCGATGACAAATTAATTGCAAAATATTTCACGCTAAGTTTAATAAAAATTTTGCCAGCTAAATTTTTATTTCATCAAGCTTTTCTTGCCGGAATACATTCACACCAATAATATACACAGAAATAATTTGGAAATCAGTAACATATGCAAATTTCAATATCTTCCTCAAATAACATTCGAAAAAAAATCATATGATATATCGATGAAATTACGCAATATACAAATTTTTCCTAGCTTCAAATTACAATTTTAAAAAAAACCAATTTTAAGTTTAAAAATATCAAAAGATGAATTTAAAATATTAGAGAAGCGCTAAAATACAAATAGCGCCATGATAAATTTAATACCAAAGGAAACATTTATTTTATAAAAAATAATAACTGGAATTTAATTTAATTGATGATGTAGTGTTGAAATTATAAGTGAACTTAAAAACATAACAATTATAAGTTGAAAAATGAGGCAGTTTAAGATGAAGTGATATTTGGAAGAAATGAGAAGGAAGAAAGGAAAAACAAAACAGAACAAATATAAGAAGTGAGATGAGCGAATCGAATTACATGAAATTAAGTAATTAAATTATTAATTTTATTGTTTTCTCTAATTATTATGGTATTAAAATTTCATCTGAAAATTCTTTCAGAACTTTTGAAAAATTTTCAAGAAATGCATAATTGTTGTTGAAAAATAGGAACATTGTTATTAGTAAAATTTCTATGAATTTTTATTGTATATGAAAATTATGCGCCTAAGTTTAAGATGAATAAAGTTTATATGAATATAGTTTATATGGTTAATATGAATAACAGGTTTTTAAAAACACTGATCATCTATGCAAGGGACATATATAGAAATTTGGATATTCTTATATATTTTTCAATTTCAATTTTTCATCTTTGGTAAAACTAATTTGCATAACGTTGATCTAAACAAGTTATTTTACTCTCCAAACAATCACCTAAAAGATTCTAACCTTTTTTTCCAATTTCACCTACCTTCTGTTTTAAGAAATTAAATGTCTTCAAATTTTTTCTTTTTGAAGCTATGCACTTTGGCATATATATTTTTAACAAATTGTTTTTAAAAAGAAGACAAGAATAAACTAAAAAGGCCTAACTGTAACAATTAATGGATAAGGGCCTCGAGAATGAAAGTATTCATATTTGGTTATGTAACAGAACAGAATTCATCATCTTCATATAATCTTCTAATTCAGAAAGAAGAGATAAAATTAAGGGAATGAGAAGATAATGATGATACAATCTAAAATTGAATTCAAAATTTTATTATAAAAATAAAAAGTTTTAATGTGATCGATTGATATTGTGCTAAACATCAGTGCCAGCATCTGAACTGACCCTACTTGGTTTACTTTTGCACTTCTTGATATAAATGGTAATTACGGCAGCAATAAGTATTGTTGAAAATGATGCTGCTGCAATTAACAAAATAAGTGACCATAATGTGATTGCTTTCGAATTTCGTACGGCTACCAAAGAATTTGTCGAGATCAATTTACAATCACCATTAATCAATTGATGTTCTTAAAAAAAAAAAATGATCTCATTTATCATTAACATATTTTTATCTGTTCGGTCAATATCCGAATAAAAACTACATTTTAAAATAAATTTATAATTAAAAGGTCATTCTGCCTTTCTTCGAAAAACTTCCCGACTCCTTATCCTAAATAATATTCCCACTGACATCTCTTCTTCCATTAATTATAATAATGCATTTGTTTAAATGAAAAAATCCTGCCAGCATTAGATAGAGAATATAATGGGTAAGTGATGAAACCCTTCACAATGACCATTAATAATGCATGATGGTCATTTATCTAATTTAATTTTCATTATGATTTTTTTTTTTAGGAACCTTATCATTTTTATTTTATATTCTTATTAATTCCGCCAATTAATAAAACTTCAAAATATACCGTAAGCACATTGATTGCAATCTTCACCAACCCAATTTGGTGCACAGGAACAAATATTCTCCACTGTAATTCTACCATGTTTACATTCGATTGGTGTTTCACAAAATGGACCAGTGAAACCAATATCACAGAGACAGAAGCTACCCATCTGAATGAGAAACATTGAATTTTAAATTTCAAATGAGAAAATGAGATTGAAATGAGGTTTCTTTGTTTTACTAAAAAATTTCCTTCAATTTCAATTTAGGAACAGATTAAAAAATTTCCTTTAGAAAACTAAAATTTTGTTAAACTTTCGAAATTTCAGAAGATACAGATTTCTTCTTTTCATTACCTGTCCTCCGGATCCAACAGAAATTCCATTATGGCACATTCGAGATTGGCAAAATATTCCAGTCCATCGATCTTCGCATCTACATCGACCGTTTTCTAACTTTCCCTTCCCTTCGATACATTGTGTTACCATTTCGCATCTTTCACCTGTTTTATAGTTGAAAAATTACCTCCGCTATTAGCTGACAAATGAAGTATAATTATATTACCGATCATATAGCTTGAAATAACTTAAGAGCATTTTTTTCAGTTGAAACTGTCAGTATATAATTTTGTTCAGCAATAAAAGTTTGATTATTAAATTTGATGAAGTATGTTGATTAAAATTAAAATTTATGATACAGACTGATATTAATTAGTGGGTTACCTGTTAAACCGTATGGACAATGGCATTTGCCGGTTTTTGATTTTCTGCCACCATGTAAGCATGGTTCGATTTCGCATGCTTCACCTTCAAATCGTTCTTGACAGTAACATTTGCCCTATAAACCCAGTTTGATGTTGCATTAATAGCAATAAGCTGAAACATTTAATATATTCCACAAAGTTTATTCTTAAATTTATCCTTAACAAAAATAAAATTTTCAAAGTGTTAATTGTGATATGTAAATTAACAATCATAAAAATATAGCAAACGTTTGTTTTAAATCAATTAAATATCTTGAGACAGTTTTGTCAGCAAAATTACTAATATGATCGATCGTCTTTTTATTTAACGCCTCAGCACACACAATTTTTATTTTCTGTTAAGGTTCAATTTTCAAGGTAACTTCGAGGTTAGTTTGCGCAATCCAAATATTAATATGAAAGATGTGAGTGATAATGATTCATGCCAGATCTATTGGAAGATAAACTCATTTGAAATAACGGATCATTTATTTAAAAGTCAACGAAATGTATATACTTATTACTAATTTTTTCGGATTCTACATGGAATCTTCCGGAAAGATATCTCTTAGGAATAATAATTTGATCAGAAAAAAATCTCAGCTTTTCCGATTTCATTTGGCTGAACAAATATCTTCTTTTTACCCAAGTAATGCTTAGTACAAGTTAAAAAATTAAATATTCAAAAATCAAAAGTATCGATTATCGATTTTCTAATGAACTATTAAATGAAGTAGATCAATACATCATATCCAATTGAATTAAGATTTGATCAACTGAATTCAATCACTTTTTTCATTGTTTAACATTTTATTCATACTTTTCTATTCATTGGCTATTTTAAAGTTCAGAACACTTAATTGAGGAAAAAAGAGTTTTGAATAAAATTTAAAAAGATGAAAAACTAAAGTTGAAGGCATCAAAAACTAGTTGTCAAATGGAAAATTAAACTTCAAGCAAATATTTTTAACTTTTTTTGCTGATTAATTAAAAACAAAATGACTAACATTAATTAATGATCCACCATTGAAGCATGAAAAATTCGTTCGACCGTATTGAATGCCATGCTCCACTGAATTTCCATCATTGCCGAAAGCTCGGACTGTTATTGCTGTGATATCAGAAATTTGCAAGACAATGAAAAGAATTAGGAGAGATCTTGCAAAGTAGTAGAAATCAATAGACATTGACATTTCTTGCACGTTCTAAAATTTCCAATCATTTCTTCAATTTTATTCAACTGATAAATCCAATAACAAGATTTTATTCGATTCAACGTTACACTAACATAAACAGTGCACTTATTGGCTTTTTTATAAGATTGGTAGTTACTAAAAATTTGAACTTTACCCTATTCCAAATGATAAATAAGCGTTCTTCTAATATTTATTTTTTTGTATTTCATGCGAAAGATACAACTTATAAAAGTTTTTCTTTATCACCATCTAGACTGATTAAATGAGAAGTTACAGAAGTTCATGGTTATCAAACCGGCTATCTTTTGAAATAATATAATAAGTGGTTTGTTATCAGCAATTAACCATTGCAATAAAAGATTGGACTGCAAAGATTCACATTTGCATATTAAATATATCACACATTTTGTTCCGCGATATATTTAAATGATAATTCAACTTCGTAACAGTTTTTAAATCTGATTCTTAGTAATTCATCAAATGTTGATCGAACGGATCAATTTGTGATAATTTACTGATAATTGATAATTGCCAGAACCTAAATTTGTCTGTCAAATTTTCAATTTTTAACTAATCAAATATCCTAAATGCTATTTGAATAGCAAAAAGCAATACAAATAATGCATTGAAAAACTAAATGAAATGATATTGATAAAATAAACGGATAACTAAAACGCTTATCATTCAATTTCTAATGAATTTATCTTCGAGCAAACTTCAAGAGAAATAAATTAATAAAATTTAAGCTATGAATCAAATGATAAACTTTAGTTTTATTCTAACCAAAATTAACAACATTCACCCTGGCTGGAAACAAAAAGTTTTATATGATAAATGCCTAAGAGCGCAGATGCTTAACTATCAAAATCCAAAATTAATACATCCATTTGGCATTTCATGTAGTTGTATTTTCTTCTCCATCTCATAATAGACATAACGATTAAATCAATTCCCTAATGAGAATGAATAATTGTTGAATATTTTAAATTTTTGCTGAATCGAAATTCTATCTTTCAATGAAATGATTCAACAACGAATTGATGATTTATAGCAGAAATTTCTGATTTTCAAATTATGAAAAAAATCATGATTTTTCATTCAACAATACAAAGATTACAAAACCAGAGATAATGAGTTTAATAAATTAGCAAAGTTAATTGGATGATTAATTGAAGCTGAATTTTTAAAAGCATATCATTGAATTCTATCACTGCAACATTCTATTCTTCACAATTGAAAAGAATCATATCCTTTTAAAAAAAGTTGTTATATGAAATTGCAAAATGAATATGCAGGTAGAATAAAGGTGGCAATAAAGAGAATATTTTTTTTCTTTAATAGTAATTTCATTGGATGAAACGATTGCATGCTGTCATCAAGCGGTTAAGTAAAAGAGAAATGATGTGTAAATAGAGAGAAAGATGAGCAAGAAATGATGCCTATTAACAAAATGATCATCATGTAACCCATTTGGAGCAATTTACCACCAATCAACGTTTATTTTACAGCTGTCAAAAATTTTAATCAATTTTGTCTTCTCATATATCTGATAAGATGTCTGCATAATTTTTTGTTTGAAATGATAATTTCTGTGAAGATTGAAGTTAATAGTTTAATTTCCATAGAATATCACCTATCCAGCAGAATATCTCAAAATATTTGTTTATATTACTATTATTGCAACATTAGCAAAATACTTCAGCTTTTTAGCTCGAATTTAAATTTGGTGTATTTCTTTAAAATTATCACTTTTTTATTATCCTACTACTTCGTAGGAGTATCTCGTTTATTGTTTTAAGTATAGGTGGGTTAATTGTGCTTAGTGATAGGGTTATTTTAGTTTTGATTTTTTGAGATTCTTTAGGTATCAGTAGTTTTTTTGGGAATAATGTAAGATTCTCGAGAACTCAACGAAACATACAAGTTAACTTTCCATCAATATTATCCTAGCAGTAATCAATGTTCTACTATGAAACTAAACAACTAATTGGAGTTGAAGCAACTATTACCTTAGGCAATCAACTTCTCAAAAGGATATTTATTATTGATCACCTTTAATAAAAGCAGAAATAAAGAATAAAGAAAGCTAATAAGAAATATTACCTGTAGAAAACAAAACAAAATCATATTGCGATAGCATCAAATTTGAAAATAAAGGCATTAACTTAATAAATACTCTCAAAATATCTTATCGAAATAATTTTTTTCATACAGTAAACTAATACAAATAAAAGTTTCGGTAGAAAATTGTTTTAAATTTCTCATTTCTTATCATTTACAGTAATACAAAAACATTTACAGTAATTTACAGTAAAATTAATATACGAATAATAATTGTACAAATACATAAATTCATTATTTTTCCCGCAGATAATGAATAATATGCGAACCATTAAGAAAAGATGCGGTTTTTTTTTTGATTAATAATATCGTTAATTAGCTAATGATATGAAAATAAGATGAAAGATTTAAGCTAATCAAAATTGTTGCATAAATTAAAATATCTATCGATCATATATAATCACAGAATAATAATAATCAAAGAGGAAGTGTTTGGGGTTATTTGTAACTTCTCTCTCATAAATGATTTTGTTGTGATATTCTCCGTCAATAGCGCTAATAGTTGATGTGTAAAAGTTCAAGCATATCCTATCAACTATAAATCAATCAGCAAACTCCTTGCTGTTTACAGTGATTCTTTAACCTTTGGTTGCAATTGCATCTTCTTGCATTCATGATGTCTCACTTGCTAACCCTTTGCTTCATTAGGCTGAGTAATCTGAAGTACTTGGAACAAACATAATTAGAATATAATAACTATTACTGCGAGCTTGCTCATTAATTATTGTATATCATAACAAATAATATGTTTTATAATGAAAATTTAACTGAATAGAATATTTGTATTCAATAAATCTATTGTTATTAATTATTGGAAAAAGTTTGATTATGAATCACTGAAGAAGAGTTTTGAAATTTCATCGCTTTATAAATTTTTCTACAAAATTCTGTATATCAATTTATAATCAAAATGTTGAGCAATTGTTGACAGTGATAGCCAATAACGGAATGAAATTCATTTTAAAATCAACACTATATCAACATTATCATCCAGATATAGTGGACCACTCTATCAACATTATCATCCAGATATAGTGGATCAACATCATCATCCAGATTTAGTGGACAATGGTCATCTTTTTACTGATTTTGTGTTGACTGCAGAAGATTCATTTTATTAAAGTGTGAAAGGCATAAACAAATACATGAGACATTAAATGGCAAAGGTCACTAAAAACTCTATTTGTGATCTTTTTTTGAGATGAGTTTACGAAATTGAAAAAAGTTCAAAGGAGAAATACTAAATTGTAATTACAGTTTTTAAATGTAAGAAATAAGAAAGCTAATTTATATTTAATTGTCACCGTAACCATATAAACAATTATTTGAAACAAAAGATTTTTAACATTTTTATATGATAGAACAAAAAGGCATAATGTATTCAAATAGAATGAAAAAAAATAATGAAATAAACACCTCAAAATCTATCGTAGAAAAGCTTTTGATTAATTAAACTAAAATATTATCAGTTTTTCATTAATCAAATTAAAATATTATCAGTTTTTAATTAATTAAATTAAAATATTACTAGTTTTTGATTAAATTAAAATATGATTAATAATTAAAAAATATTTAAATAAAGCAGAGATAATCATTTTCTAATATTTTAATTTGCAAAAAATTTCGTAACAAATCAAAATAACCGTAATTGAAGTAAATTTAATAGAAATATCTTTCTATGAGCTTTATATGAAATTTTCAGAATTCGAAGGATATTTAGGTCATCGATCGGATTGTTCACAGATTCCTCTTCTTTGTAGTCATTTTTCTACAAAACGATAAAATTGAATTGTTAATTGTCTACCATTTTCCTTTGTTATTCAAACCAAAAGAAATTCTTTGTTATTCAAACCGTTCAACAATGTAGCACAGATAATCATGATAAAAAAAAAAAGCACAGATTGTGATTGTCTACGGCATTTGTACAACGAAAAAGAAAGGATAAGGTTTTCTCTCTCTCTCTCATCTTTGATATACAAACTGAAGAGGATCCGATCTAATAAGCAATCTTTGCTTAAAATAATTCAAAAGATTTTTTAAAAGGGATACCAACAACAAAAATGAGTGCAGCTTCTATAAAATGAAATGCTATTTAGTGAAATGAACGGAATACATTTATGATTGAGAGAATATGTCGATTATAATATTTCAACAGGCCTATATAATAATAATGATAGGCTGTATATAGTAAATGGAAGGAATGAAATGAAAGGTTAGTGAGTGATATGAAAAGATTGAATGAATTAAGAAAATTGAATAATTGAATATTGCTCGATGTTATATATCCAACTATATGAGAGTAGTGAAAATGTGGAACAATTGCAACGATTTCGCTTGGGATTAATATTAAGTGCTTGAAATGGATTGGATCAACTTTGGACCAACCAATTCTATTATGCCTTATTATTTCTCTTTAGAAAAAGAAACACTTTACTACATATTGTTTCGGTGTTTGTTTTTATCGTTGAAATTTATTAATTAAAACTTTTTTTTTTAATTTAATTTAAAATAGAATAAATTTTATGATATGCGCAATGTGCTAATAATAATTTAATGAATTCATATTATTAAATCACTATTATTAAGCATTTTCCATTTAGTATTTAATACAATTTAAACTAATTTAAGCAGCCTTTATAAATTAAACCTTTTTAAGGCATTCTACGTTATCCAACAATTAATTCTATTCCATACTGTTTTTTTCTTTTTTGTTATAAATGGCCAAGTTACAAAAGCTGATAATTAGCAGGGAAAAGAGCCAGAAATGATCAAGTTACAAAAGTTAATAAACAATAAGAGAAAGAGCCAGAAATGGCCAAGTTACAAAAGTTGATAATACTGTTTTTTTTCTTTTTTGTTATAAATGGCCAAGTTAC